ATACAGAGCGCTTTCGTGTCTCAAGGAATACAGATGAGAAAAAATTAATGGATTTAGATTATATAAATATACACTTGAGTAGAATAGACATAAACATAGCATGGATGAAAATCAAACGCTTATATATAAAGGCTAAATACATTGGAAAACGATAAATAACACGCACCTGCATTTACCCGAGGGTCACTAACACTAGTGGCCGCGACGAGTACAGGAAGCCGGCGGCTTGTCAAAGGTTGATATGATTTATTTCAAGCTGAATATTAAAGTTCAAAGGCGTTTGGCATATATGGCATCGGCGGGTAGGCGGTTCCATTGTTTATAACACTGTGGGTGAAAAAGAAAATCCTGTTTTAAGTCCTACATTGTGGTTTGTTGAGCTAGAAACTGGTGCTCCTTGTTTGTGATGCATCTGACCTTTTGAAGAAGTTGTCCGGATCAATATCCTCCAAATTGTTCAACATTTTAAAAGTTTCAATGAGATCGGCTTTGCCATGCCAGGTTTGCAGTGTTGTTAGCTCTCAACCAGTGTTATTAGATCATCAACCTTTCCTGGTATGAGAGTTGAATTCTGGAATTATTTTTGCTGCCTGGTGTTGTACTTGCTTTTAATGAAGTTCTCTCTGAAAATGATGTATCAATGCTTGGATACAATAATCATCATAAGGAGACATGTTTGTCATGTACTTTACATACCTGAATTTTCACCAAAGTACTATGAACATTTTTGGCCAAATATTTTGTAAATACAAAAAAAGCTGAGACCAGACACACTACACAGAGTTCACACTAACGTGATGCATCAAATGAACAAATCCACAAGGGCCGTGATGAAGATTCGAACCTGCGAACCTGCGCAGGTTCGAATCCTCGTCACGGGCCTTGTGGATTTGTTCACAAGCTGAGACTAGGGTGGTGGCATAATTGTGGCAACATAACATTGTTGACGAATAGTGGTGCCAACTGCGTAAGGCGGCGACAAGCCTCACCTGCGTCATCACGCCACCATTGGCGGATCCAATGGTAGGTGTTGGGCATGTGTATAGGAGACCATGGTCGGCGGGTAGTGATTGGACGCGGCAGTGATAGCTGGGAGAGAAAGGGTGGGGGGGAAGGGGGATTGAGGGACGTGTGTAGCAGGGGAGGGAGTATTGTGTAGCAGGCGTGGGTGCGTTTGATGAGCAGGGGGGACGGGGGGATGGACTATGAGGCGAGAGAGGTGACCGGGTAGGGGGGGGGCAGCGTACATATGGGTAGTGAGGCTTTGTGATTCCCAACCTTTTTGGGAACGGCCCTATTTTCTTGATACTGTTAAGTATCAAGAAACTCCAGTTTCCACTCCACGGGAGACATCTCCCGTCATGCAGGGTGCAGTCACACCTCCACAGATCTCCAGTATCATCTGTTGATACTGGTAATGACTCAAAAGGGCCACCACTTACGGGCTAATCATGCCCGTGCCACATTTTGGGTGGCTTAATCTTCATCAATCAAGTTTCCACTCCAGTATCACCAGTACTGATACTGGAGGGACAGGTCCCAAATCTGCACAGTAAAATAACAACGTACTGGAGTGAACGGCATGGAAGAAAATGCAGAATAGAACCAGTGAAGAGCAGAGGTGCTATGGGCACAATCAGAGAACACTGTATGAACATCAGAGGTCCACGGTTGTTCAACGTCCTACCAGCGAGCATCAGAAATATTGCAAGAACAACCGTGGACATTTTCAAGAGGAAACTAGATTGTTTCCTTCAAGGAGTGCCAGACCAACCATTGTTTCCTTCGAGGAGTGCCGGACCAACCGGGCTGTGGTGGGTATGTGGGCCTGCGGGCCGTTCCAAGCAACAGCCTGGTGGACCAAACTCTCACAAGTCAAGTCTGGCCTCGGGCCGGGCTTGAGGAGTAGAACTACTCCCAGAACCCCATCAACTAGATATCAATCGGGTATCAAGGCTTACAAAGGGGGGGGGGGGGGTTAGCAACCCACTTGGTTACTACCAGGGTTGACTGAAACGCTCTAATGATTAACGTAGACATCTGGAAGAGGTTTGTATTCAAGCACAAACTGCAGCAGCAGTGAGGAAAACGTTGCGTTTTAGAGTATATGGGTGAAAGTCTAGTCTCTCCCATGTGTTAAAGCATATGTGGTAGTTTTTAATTAACCTTAAATGGCTTATGAGGAACCTGAGGGCAGTAATTATTATTATATTCCGAGAACACAATTGTGAAGACCTTTCATAATTGAAAGACTTTTCACAATTATGAATGGCTAGTGTTGTGAAAGCTGCATTAGCAGTTCCATCTTATCTTCAAAGATGCAATATGAGCCACAGCTATGACGACATTCAATTAGCTCTGCAGACTTGTATACGGTACTTCTGCAAGGCATAGGCTCCGCTGTGAGCTTATGCCTTGGTTTATCATATATATATATACATACATGATAAACCATCTTAAGGATATATATATGATAAACCATCTCGAAGGATGGTTTATCATATATACAAAAGCATGAAGCCAGAACTAGCAAACTTTGAATAGATCATAAACGCTTCCTCAGCTGGCATAGAAATTGAAATTGAAATAAGTTTATTGAGGTAAAATACACACAAAGGGATGAGGTAGCTCAAGCTATTCTCACCCCGTTCAGTACATCGTGTTAATACATACCTGGCATAGAAGTCATCGACATAAGAGTAGGATCTAAACAAATTCTTTGCTATGAAAGTTCTTTTTTTTCGAAGTTTTATTTTCTCTGCTGTCGACCTACCTGGTAATTACTTTGAGCCGTTTGTTTTACTATAATTTCATCTTTATTACACGCTGGTATACCTGCTATTGTCAGGCATCGTGAGTAATATTTTTTTATTTATTTATTTATTTATATAAAAGAAGGTACATTGGGTTTGTGAGAATACATAGCATAGTATTTACAATCTTGTAAAGCCACTAGTACGCGCAGCGTTTCAGATTCAGATTCAGATGTTTATTCAGGTAAGGTATATACATACAAGTGATGTTACATTAATGGATTGATATATAGATAGAGCTAGTACATACAATGCCTAAAGCCACTATTACGCAATGCGTTTCGGGCAAGTTTCGGGCAGAAACGAGATGATGACCATACGAAAACGCTTCTGTACCTTTAACTGTATATGTGTAGTGGTCAGGTTTGTATGATCACTGTGATGAGTCTTGCTGTTTACACACTTGCGAGTGAGGTATTAAGTGCTTGAAGAGCAATATTGACGACGCGCAGATCCGTGTGCATGGTTAAGTGATACCGTTTTGTGTTGGTGGATACGACTGTGAAGTTCTCTTGTGATGTACTCTTGTTTACGTGTGAGGGAGGGGAAGAGGGGTGAATGGTGAGGTTATGGGGGGGTAAGAATACCATCAAGAGGGTACCCCCCCCCTCCCCTCCCCACCCTCCCAGCTGCGTCCTCCCCCTTCCACTCACAATCAATGGAATGTGACGTCACGAGTGCGTCCGAACAGCATAAAATGGCCTTGGCTTAGACTTGGCGTTAGGGTAATGGCATTTTGATGAAACGTCACCTTCCTGGGCGACCTCTTGACCCTTACCACCGTCCACATTTAAGCCTCGTGCTTATGCTGTGACAGTCATTTGAATGTCACGAAAGTACTACAGCATTTAGTCACCTAATTTATGATACCCAATCGTTTTCGAATAAATATTTCCTTACAAAATATTAGCATGTATAACGAAAGCATTAGGATGTTAAACATCAAACTTTTCAGAAGGCCTTTGTTAAACTTCATCTGAATTTTTGTATAAAGTAAAAACGCATGATAGTGTAGGCCTATCATGCGTAACAAGTGTTGTGGCACACAAGAGTGGACCTAATTATGCCTGATAAGCCGATTTCCTGAATTTATATATTTTCTAATTTTTGTCTTGTGAAATGATACAGCTATTCATTTCATTAAGTAAGAGTTAGTTTTAACTCAAAATAAAAAAAAATTATCGTAGATATATGACCTACCCTACCTAATCTACCCTACCCTTAACCTAACCTAAACTAACATAACTAAGTTAATAATTTATGTTTTTAATATAATATAATAATAATAATTGAAATAAACCAATAGGAAATAATTTTTGGAAAATGAAGAAAATCACTCAGCCTATTAGGCAAATCGGGCCTTGCATAGTAGGCAGAGAAGTGCATTCTGGTTACAAGGTATGACGTGTGTGTGTGTGTGTGTGTGTATGTATGTATGTATATATATATATATATATATATATATATATATATATATATATATATATATATATATATATATATATATATATATATATATACATATATATAATATACTGTATATATAAATAGACTGGACTCAACCGATATACACCAGTAAAACAAAAAACAAAAAAAAAAAAATATTGTTGCTAAGAATTAGTGGCAAAACATACAACATAAAATTAAGAGGGATGATGTAATTGGCTAAAACAAAAATGAAAACCAACAAGAGTACCAACTTACTCCAGCAACAGACAGAACAAGAGGATATTTAACCTATGTTGGCACATCTGGATTAGTAGCTATGAGTGTAATCGAACATAAAACTAGGGAATGTGAGAAGCCGTTTTTGTTTAGCATGATTGGGTGCATTTGCAGACAACGTAGTGTGCAAAAAGACAGACAAATTGAAAAACCCAGGAAAGTCGATCATGAATCATATAAAATACAGCATGTTATCTTGAGGTTATCTTGAGATAACCTCAAGATAACATGCTGTCTTGTATATGATTCATAATTGACTTTCCTGGTTTTTTTTTTTTGTATCTCTTAAGTTCATGTACTCTTAAGTTCATTCTGCAAACGGCGCATACAGTTTTAACATGGTTTATTTGATTAAATTGTTAGGTTTGAAAATTTTCAATTTATATTTACTTTTTGTGTACTATATATTTGTGTAATGTTACAAGTGTTGCAATAAAAGTAATACTGTCATTGTTTCTACAGAGTCGTGGGTTGATCTGTCAGACCAGCCAGGGAGTCCTGACCGTGTGACTCCACTGCCCTTTGGGAATGGTGAGGAGTACTTGCGGTTGTTGAGGGAGGCCCAGCGGGAGAGCAACCAGTCTTCTGCTCGTGTCTCGCTGTCTTCTTCGCGCCGTGACACACCTAGGGACTCTCCACACGATTCGTGAGTTCCTGCCCAAATTAGTGCACCAGCATGAACATTGCAATGCAATAGCAATGATGAACAAATCCACAAGGGCCATGTTGAGGATTCGAACCTACGTCCAAGATAATCCCAAACGCGCCTTAGTCGATTGCACCACGACATTTGTAAAAACCTTGTTCGTCTTGGAGAGGCTGCAGGATCTGTGAGAGGGCAGTAGCACTCCCGGTTGGAATTCTTTTACCATGTCATGACACAATTGACTAAGGCGCGTCTGGGATTATCTTGGACGTAGGTTCGAATCCTCAACATGGCCCTTGTGGATTTGTTCATTTGATGCACTGCCCTATTGTGATTTCTGTGTAGTGTAATAGCAATGATAGAAGAACACGAAATGCTCTCTTATTTTTCTTAGGTCAGGTTGGATTGGTTGATGCAGAAAGGTACCATGTAACTTTTATAATGTTATAATTTTTATTTTTTTATTTTTTTTTTTTTTTAGTTTTCCTAGTGAATAATGTGTAGTCTACCATGTTTCATTTCTAGTTAGTGTTACCTTGCCAGTTTGTGTTATTTAATTTACAGCTTGCATGTATTACTGTTATGAGCAAGCTTCCAGAGTAGCATACTAGCAAAAATTGGATGTAATATATTCATCTGCTTTCTTCACACTACATTACTCATTTATCCTCCTCACTTATGGCATCTGTCCATGGGGCTCAACCACTCCAAACTACAGTGCCTCAAATCTATCATTGCCCAGCAAAAATAGGTTATTGAACAATAATACATTTTCAGTTTGTATGTCTGTTTTCAGACATAAGCCTCTTTCTCCAAATCACTTCGCATGCCAACATACACGCTCCGTACATTCTCTAGACCTCATTTTAAAAAAGCCTGTACAGTACTTGAATACTATCCAGACTTGGAACTACTGTATTTCTAGATGCATGTAATAGATCTAGTGAACATAAAAAGGTACAGTATCTCTGAAATTCCTCGAATCTTGGCTTGATCTGTGTGAACATGCCATATAAATAGTGACCTAAAATATAGAATTCTTTCATAATACAATAAAGAATTTCACAGCATATATGCTGTTCAAATGATAAAGCAACACTTATAGTTGCCTCATCTTATTCTTATCTTCATTACTTAATTTTCAGTATTAAATCATACTTGATCCCAACAAAATAATGCAACATAACCTTATGCTACCAACCAATCTATTACTATTTAAACTAATAAATCTGGTATGATCACCAGTATGATTTCATCACCACCTGTCTATTGTACTTTTATTAATTTTATTATCATTACCAAAATTTGAACCTGTGTACCTGCCAACATGATGCTATGTCCATAATTTATCCTTTAACTTTAAGTAGCCTACTTTACCTTAACTAATTTTATATTCACAGCAAATACCTTAATCTGCTTTGGATTTTAAGACTTACACAAGATGCTAAGTGTTGGTGTCTTTTAGTTAAGTTCAGTTATTATGCAACCCATACCCATCCTGTGGTGGTAGTGGAAAGGGTTAAAGGTACATAATGGGCTCAGGGACTAAACCTTAAAATTCATTTAGCTAAGCAAGTTAGTCTTGATAAGCTAATTACAACATTTAATGTACAGTATATTATTATATCAACAATGGGTTAGTGCCTTTGCTAGAAAGTTCTTAACTTTGTACTTTATTCGTATTAAAGTTTTGCTATTCTCTGTTAGTGATTATATTGATGGTTTTCTCCAAAGTTGTTTGAAGAACTGTAGTAACCCTTTTGCAAATACAGTAATGCTAAGAATATTAATTGATGAAAGATAGAATGGTTTTGCTAGCTCAACTGTCTCTAGATTAAGAATAGGTTTAGTTTTATAATAAATTGCAATTAGTCATCTTTACATGTAATGTGTTTCAATATAATATCCTGTACTCTTTAAATTATTTGTCAGTTATTCATAGGCCTGGTCAAGGACCAGGCCGCAGGGACATTGAGCCCTGAAATCATTGCAAGGTAATTGCAAGGCATTGATGGAAATGCATCGTTTGCAGTTTTTATTTAGAAGATGAAGTATTTGCTTCATAATTTTTCAGGCCGAAGTCCCCACCAAACAGCCCTAACACTGAGATGACTACAGAACCCGAGGAGGCTATATTAAAAGGGGTCTATATTAATTACTACAATAAGGTACGTAATCAGACTTAATCGTTCATTTTTATTCTTGCCGCTGCTGCTAGAAATTAAAATGTAATTACTTGGGTTAGAGAGTTAGGAAACATGGACTATAGGAAATGTATTTTCTTCTTAATGTATAAAATTTAGTTTTAATTAATTTCCAGAGTTTAATATAATGCTGATTTACAGCAAGAGGAGAGCTGTAGTTAGGCTTATTGAGGATCCCTAGGCCAACCACTGACCTTCACCAGAATGCAACCTACAACAGTTGCCTAAATTCCGGTTTCCTATTTACTGCTAGATTTACTGGGACATTAGGTTAAAAGAAACATGCCTAACTGTTTGTCCTACCTGTGGATTAAACCCTAGCCTCTCGATTGAGGGTCAAGGACATGTACGGCTGTGCAACAGTACCATATTCTCACTGGTTTGTCATAAAAAGCAAACTGGTTCACAAATATATATAGACAAAAGAGTACTCTTTCTCCTAATCTCTGGTAGACTAAACCCAACAATGGATTAACTTGTAAAAACATTGTTCGGCCACCGCAACACTTCCAACACTGGGACCTAGTCCACTGTTTTGTAATGATATAGGTTACAACATTTGGAGGGTTTAGTTACCAGTTATGGGTTGCTTGTATAAGTTTATCAACAACTGACAAATGTTGCATTGAAGTTTTGAAGGATTTGTTCTGTTTAAATTACAGTACAGAGTTCTTATTTTTTCACATTGCCTTGGTATGAAAATGTTTTAAATTTGATTGAGCAAATCTATTGGCAAGTTAGAAAGTTCCAAAAATTTGAATTGTCCAAATTGTGTTTGGGCAATTTTCATTTCCTGTATAGAATATGTACAATAATTACTTAAGAATCTTTAAGCCATTATGTGTTAGATTCTTATTTAAGTACAGTATCTTACTTGTTTAAGTAAATAGTATCTAAGGATACTATTAAAATAATTTCCATTATATTTGCTTATACTGTGTCTTTTTGTAGGAGGGAGACTTCATTAGGGTAGAAAAGAACACGGAAACAGACTGGATTTGGGACTGGAGCAGTCGACCTGACCAGACTCCACCAAAGTTAGTGTTTTAACCACTTGTACCTGTGCTATAAATATAAAGTCTTACAAGCTGTAGTCTTTTATTAATATTTTTTAATTGTATACTGTTTGTATGTAGTCACTAATTTATTATACTTTATATGCACCAAGTCAAGCTACATTTTGGGGAACACTGCAGCTGTCTACTGCAGTGTTCCCCAAAATATAATTTTCTTAAAGAATAGCTTAACAGTTCAACTTGTAAGGTGGATCCAAATTATTGATGAATGTTCATCTTAATTGTTACCACTGGTCTGATATGCAATGGTTAGATTTATGCACAAACATACTGTATTTATATAAATGCATACTCGGTTTTTTCAATATCAAAGTTTATACGAAGCTTAAAGTGTTCATATTATTTTGCTAAGTAGGCTGTAAATGCAGTATCCTAAACCATATTATCTTTTGTTTAATCGAATTTCTAGGGAGTGGCGGTTTAGTCATCCTCGTAAAGGCGTGAGCCGTGGTGCCAGTATCCGCCGTGTAATGGTGGGCAACTCTTCACTCTTCTCCCGGGATGTCCTTTACACCCTCCTTATCACCAATGTTTTATCTCTTCTTATTGGTACTGGCATTGGGTAAGTAGAAACATTCCACTGAAATCTGATGTAATTTTCAATTTTTTTTTAATAAAATTAAACTCTAGGTACTGTATATACATTACAGTATACAGTACTTGTATCTTCACTAAACTACATTTCTACAAACCTTGCAAAATACTAAAATGAAAATATATTATATGATTAATTTATCTTGACAAAAGACTACAGTATATACACACAGAAATCACAATAGCGTGATGTATCAAATGAACACATTCACTAGGGCCATGAAGAGGGTTTGAACCTACGCATGGTATGTTCCCAGATGCGCCTTAGTCAACTGTGCCACAACATGGTTAAAAGAATTGCAACCTGGAGTGCTACTGCTGCTTCTCCGAAGCACAGACCGGGGTTTCACACAATTCCCCCATGCACCTGGACTCTTGTCAACCAGGTGTTCTACCTCTATGCCCTTACTTCAGTACACACAAATCACAATAGCGTGATATATCAAATGAACAAATGTGTGTCTGGGATCATCCCGGGAGTAGGTTCGAACCCTCATCACGGCCCTTGTGTTCTTCATGAGACTATATATTCATTACATTGTTTAATGCCTTAATTTTATAACCTATTATTAATTAGACAGTATTTGTTCTTGGCAGGATTTTGATAATGAAATACAGTACTGGGTATTTAAAATAATTTATAAATTTATAAATTAAAATTGAATTGAAAATTAACAGCATGTGCACATTGGCTTAATATTAATCAGTATAGAGGGGGAAAAGGCTGGATGTTCTAAAAGTATTTACAGGTTCTTCTTATAAACAGAGAATACTTATGATCATTGCGTTAGCACCAAATTTATGGTTTGTTGGTTAAATCATATTTTACGTGAATTTACCCGAGGGCCACTATTTCTCTAGTGGCCTCAAGGAAGACAGGAAGCTGGTGGCTTGTCAGAGGTTTCCCCATTTATTCTGATTTTTGTTAAAGCTGGATTTTAACATTCAGCAGTGTTTTGCTATTTACAGCTTTGGGGGGGTAGGCAGTTCGATGGTTTTATTATCTTGTTGATAAAAAAAGCATCTCCTGTTTTTTGGACTATATTGTGGCTTGTTGAGTGCGAAACGGTTTCTCCTTCTTTGTGTTACATCTGAACTTTTGAAGTTGGCTGGATCAATATGCTCCAAATTGTTCAGAATTTTAAAAGGTTTGATGAGATCAGCCCTTGTGTGTCATAGGTGGTTTGTAGTGGTGTTAGCCTTGTGGCCCTCAACTTTTCCTGGTATGAGTCTGCTTTTGTCTGGAATGATTTTTGTTGCCCTGTGTTGAACGTTCTTGAAAGCAGCCGTGTCTTCCTGAAGATAATGTCCCTACCACTCTTCTTTTCCTTGAAGTCAAATGTTCCCTTTATTATTCCTAGAGTTTAGCTAGAATTTTTTACTGTAGCTCCCACTTATTGTGCCACATTCAGTGAATATTACAAATATACTGTGCATAACTACCGGTATATTCAGCATCTAACAATTTTATTTAAAAGGGACTATCAATTAAAATAACCTAAATTTTTACTTTCACATTCTAAGCTGATATTTGTTGCAAAAAAGTTGACAATATTCACAGATGATAATGTAACTTTATTATTCTTTTAACAGGATCTGGTTGTCGAAACGATCAGGCGTCGAAATTGTGACGTCTTTGCCTATCAACTGATTACTGGTGGTATCCACCAGTCACTCGTCTCACTGTGGCAACCATTGAAAATTGTTCAGTCTGTATTCACTAATACTTGGCATCTGTTTTGAAAGGCTTTGTTATTAAATATTTTTGTTAATGAAGTAACTCTTGTTTTCAGTTTATCTTGACCTATTATGTTATCAAGGCTTTAGGATTTGCTGAAGTTCTGTAAGACTGTCTCATCAGTCTTTTATTCAAATACCTGAACAATACCTTGGTTGAGAAAGAGCAACCCAACTTTGTTAGACGAGTATATTTGTAGGTTAGAAACTCGGTGTCAGGTAGTGCCAGGTAAATACATTAAATGCACATTATGAGGACTGATAACTCTTTAAATATTCAGTCAACTCTTGTAATAATGTGATAAGTATTTCCTTTCATATGACATGAATATATATATCCTGATAAAAGGTTTTGGAAAATTATAATTTCCAAAAAATTCCAATGAGTAGTTTGTTTCAAGAAAAAATAAAAGGAATAATTTTGTTGAGTTGAATATTATTCAACTTTACAAGGACATTTTCCTTCCTACTGTAGTACTTTAGTCTCTTTCAGTGTTAACTTTCCCCAGCTGTCCAAAATAGTTTGCATAAGCTTTTTTTTTATACACAGTGTTGCTGTCTTCTCTAGTAAGATCACTATATGTAATGTGAGGAAACAACACCAGCAAAACCTGTACAAAATAGTTTGGGGAGGTTGGACAATTATCTAGTCACATGATGGCAGTACAGTAGAGAAGCTGCTCCAGTGGCTGCACAGATGAACTCAGCTTTGTCAAAATCTAATTTGTTGAGGCTTGTATTCTCTAGGCACTAAGGGTCAAGCTGTTTGTCATTGTTGGCACTTTATGAACTTTAAAGTACAGAACTATATTCACTTTTTGTTTTGTTCAACAAATTAAGCTTTTTGTACTTTTGTCTTTAAATGTTTGTATTTTTTGCAAAGTTTTCATAAACTGTGTTTCACAGCTTTTAAGTTGCCTCATAAACCTGTTTAAAGGTTGACTAATCCTATTGGAAGTGCACAGTATGACAGGGTGTCTAGAATACATTCCTTTAGATATTCAAGATCTTGTATTTGAAACACTAGGTCATTGCTTCATTTAATTGCTAATTCCTCAGTCTAGAATAGTTATTCTTTAGATACGAATTAAATTTTTTTATCGTTATCGTGGTTCATCTGAGATCATGTGTGAGGCTAGAGGTAGATATCACACTCGTAACTTGATTATACTGTACATTCAGGCTGGCCGCTTAGCATGTTCCTGATGTGTTACCCTTAGAGCTTTATAAATCATTTGTAAAATTGCTCTATGGATGGCTACACTGTATCTGACACATTGGATGGTTGAATAAAACCACTACTATGATATATTAACAGTTAAAGAATTAAAACTTTTTGCTGTTTAATGTAAATTTTAAGGAAGATTTTTAACTTTGTAAAATGGTTGATGAATGATTTATGCATTTTAATATTAAACACTAGTATGTTAGCTATAAATTGTTGGTCTTCAGTGTGTGAGAATAGGTATATGAAACCAGGAACACTGGTACCTTGTGGCATCCAGCTCTTGGAAGCAGAAATATCTTGTATAGAGGTATTCTGTGACTATTTTTTGTTACAATATTTTATATGGTAATAGGAAGCTATAATAGCTTCCTTGCTAATTCTCACAACTCTTTGAATACTTATAGAAAATGTAAGAGCATTTAGGTAATTCCATGTGGTCATGGGCTGTGCAAGTGTGAGGACCTTCATGGTAGTGAGACTTTAGGACATGTCATATTTTTCAGTAAATGGCAAGTTACTTTGAAAAATAAAAAAATTCTTTTCGTCATTTTCATTAAGATAATTTATCAACTTGATCTTCAGCATTGGCAGACATTTTCTTGACCATTGAGCAAAGAATGTCCATAATTTTGATAAAACATACTTAATCAGATTTTGTGTAGAATTTCCCTGATTTAATGGCAAGAGTTATATGGGTCCTACTGTCAATCACTTTTTAGTAGTGTTGGTTTTTAAAATTCTCTGATATAAGCATTTACAAAAAGTTTGAAAATAAAAATAAACCCTTGCATATATTTCCAGTATTTCTAGTGTTACTACTATCTTCATGTACGTACAAGCAAGTGTAACAGTTCTCGGGACCGTCTTCTCCTACACTGCAGAGTCCAAAGGCAGCACTTCCTGCTGGACTGTCTTGAATTTGTCTGCTGTCTGAATTTTTGCATTTTAAGTATAATGGAATGAATTATATATACAGTACATATAGGAGGAAAGCCTTATGGATAATTCACACGCAGAGTTGGACAAGACAACATCCAGCTTTCTAGTTTTGTAATGCTGTCAGGAAAAGGCCAAATATATAAAAAATAGTAATGTGATTATAGTATGAATGTCCTTAAAACAGGAAGAGGTATTTATTTTAGTACTTAAACTACAGTGTCACATTCTACATCTGGCTGTGATACAGTACTTTAATATGGGAACCCTTCTGAGAAAGTAGCTACTAAAACATTGAAGTCTTTGCAGGATGCTCAATTTTTCCCATAGTCCCTCATAGGCCCTTCATATTTACACACACAGCATGCATGAGTAAACAGTCAAAATATTTTACTCTATTCACCATCAAACATTTTAACTATCTCTTCTTGATTTCCTCAACATTTTATTTTTTCACTATTTACTTAAGTCATCAGTTCTGTATACCTATATATTGGTCATAATGAGAACAAGAAGCCGGTGGCTTAAACAGTTTGCCCATTGATGCTGAGGATTTTTTTCCACTGCATTTTAAATTTGGGCAGTATCTGTTGCATGGCTTGGGCATGCAAGAGATTTCCTGGGTTTATTAACCCTTAAGCTATAGTTATCGTCTACTGACAATCCCTAAGGGACTGCAGTTATCATAAAAGATGATTTAAACAATTATTGTCAGGGTTTTACATGTATGATACAAATATGGATATAATGTTGTTTACCTTGATCAATTAAAAAAAAAATCCTACCATTTTATGGTATGAATACAGATATTGCATATCCCCTTGCTGCTTTATTTACATCCACAGTGAGCAATTATATCTATTTTCATCATGCACGTCACACAACTCTGACAATAAGCATTTAAATAGTCATATGGCGATGACCACATTTCCCTAGTAACATTAATGAATGTTCATGAACGTTCATATCATAATATAAAACACTATGGGTGTTATTGGCTTTGCAAGAATACAAAAACACCACTGTTATGTATTCTCTCGAACCTCTCGCCACTGGAATGTACTCTCACAAACCCAATGTACCTTCTTGTATAAATAAATATGAAGAATGTTCATTCATGAATGTTACTAATTCATTCTGTAAAATGAATGTTACTAATTATGTTCTGTAGAATGTAAAAAATTCTATAATGGAAAAAAAACCTTGGGTGAAACAGCATCTCGGTTGTCCTTCGTACATTGTGGCTTGTTAAGCTTGAAACTGTTACTCCTTATGTGAATCAAATTAGACCTTTTGAAGAAGTGTTCTAGGTGAAACTAACTTGTTCAGTATTTTAATGGTTTCAATAATAGACCTTTTATGTTAAGTTCCCAGAGTTGTTAGTCTTGAGGCTCTTGGCCTTTCTTGGTTTGGAAAAGTTCAATGCAGAGTGACAAATCATTCCAGAACTTGGCATACTCTCATACCAAAAGGATTAGGGCTTTAAGAACTAGCAGCACAAAGTCAGACATGATGGGTATGATCTCCTTCAAACCTTTAATATACTGATCAAATTTGAAGATAATCCAGACCCGTTCTATAAAACTTATGATGTAACACTTCATGGCTTCAAATTCAACAAGCCCAATGTGGGACAAAATAGATGTTTATCACCCATAGATGATGACCTATCAGAATAAATAGGTCATGGAAGCTATACACCGAAGCTATAAATATAAAGACAATACAGTAGAGTACTTCAGTTTAAAATTAAGCTGAAAATATCCTCGGAAATAATGGTGTTCTTTGATGAGCCACCAACTTCCTGTCCACTAGAGCCTCTAGAGATGGTGGCTATCGGATAAATTCAGGAAAAGGTAAATAAGCGATATTGAGCAAGTTCAATCATGCTATGTACACACAATAAGTTAATTCAGATGAGAGGGAAGCTAATTTGGGTAATATGTGCTGTGTAAATATTTCCAAATTTTACTTCACATTAAAAACTTCATTATTAAAATTATCTTGGTGATGCAAATTCTAAACACAAGTTTTGTCTAGTTAAACAGTATACAATGGATAAACAATATATAGTATTTGATATCTACTTTAGCTAAACTCTGCAGATATGACCTATTGAAGCAACCCACATGAGCAACAACTGACAAACATTACAGTGAGACTTGGTGATATTGTAGTACAGTAGTTAGAACACTAAATTGAGCTGTAAACCTGGAAGCGTTTGCTACACTTTTGCCTTGTGCACGCATGCTATCCACTATCCATCACTTTCCCTCTTGTTTACAAGATTCATTTTGTACAGTGTTCCAAAATTTGTTTTTTCCCCTTATTGGAATCTGCAGTTTTCTACTGTCTCATTTTCTACAATTTTTCAAATACGATATATTCATATAACTTTTAAACACTTGGAGCTAATATCCCTATACGAATTTGAAACCACCATTCATTGAAAGTTGCACAACAAGTGTGTACTATAGTGAAAAAAAATGCCAACCAAACCTTCAGAATAATCAAAACCTTTTGACTTTAAGGAAAATAAAGTGGTTATTCAGCTCTACAAGGCGCTGGTATGGCCCCCCATCTGGACTGCTGTATCCAAGTATGGAGACCTCACCTTCAAAAGGGCACATCATCTTTTGGAGAAAGTTCAACACTGACAAAAATCCTAGAACTAAGTCAACTCTCATACCAGGAACAATTGAGGGCCACAGGACTAATGCCACAAACCAGACATGACAGGGTTGATCTCTTTTGAGATGATTAAAATACTGAACAAATTTAATCTGACTTCCAGGACGTGCATGCCTTGCTTAATAACTGTCCTTTGCGGTCATTTGTCCCTTAATACACTTTGATGGTGCTACATAGCCTTCCCGGTTTGGTGCCTTCTTTTGATACATAATTGATAATTACTTACTTGTCCCTTGATAGAATCCTTGGTGAATCAGATACCTTTGATATCACTCGCCTTATGTGCTTTTGTTCTCGTATTGGCATCCTTGGTGATATTTAGTGCCTTTTGAATATCCTGCAACTTTGATTGTGCTATATAGTATCCATGGCTTGGCGCTTCTTTTGATAATTACTAAAAATAAAAAAAATAAAATAAAATGTTTATTTAGGTAAGGTACATACATACAATAAATTTTTACAAAGAATGGTTGACTTATAGGTAGAGCTAGTACATACAATGCCTAAAGCCACTATTACGCAAAGCGTTTCGGGCATGACAAGCTTAATACTAATTGAGCATAATGAGTAGAATGAGAACAAGAAATGAAAACATAGATGAAAAAGCAGCACAAATACAATTATGTCGACAAACAGCGCTCTTTAAAAAAAAAACATACATTGGTTGACAATAGAAGGGTAAGGTAGGTTACTTATTCTCAGTTCCCTTTTTCTTGTCATTTGGATTTTCCTTTAAGTAGCCCATGGGCAATAATATATCAAGAGCTGCAGCAAAATTGATTTAACCTAGGATAAAGTGAAATTTACACTAGTTATTCCATTATCTTTATTTATTTATTTATACCCCTGTACAAGAAGGTACATTGGGTTTGTGAGAGTACATACCAGTGGCGAGAGGTTTGAGAGTATATAAGTGGTATTTTTACATTCTTGCAAAGCCAATAACACGCATAGCGTTTTGTATTATTTGAGAAGAGCCACATCGAGTAGTTTGCAGAGTTGACGAGAAAATGTATCCGGCTTATCAAGAAGGAAACAGTGTATGAGAGGACAGGTTCCATTACTGTGTGGGGTCCTATCCCTGTGAACAACAGTGATATCGTAATTGTACCAGGAAGGAGACAGATTTATTTATTTATTTATTTATATACAAGAAGGTACATTGGGGGTTAACAGAGAACATAGAAATTTGAATTTACATTCTTGTAAAGCCACTAAAACGCATAGCGTTTCGGGCAAAACGATGAACGTTTTGATGACGCTGAAACAATGAAGTTTCGGGCATTGTTGAACAAAGAGGCACAAAGGAATACGCATGGAAGTATGCTGTATGCCATTTAACGGTGGAGGAATAAATCCTAATGGAGACTAAAATAAGAGCCTGTCATGTAAGTGGTGAGGGATCACAGTGCGACCCTTGCTCTGTGACATTACTTATTCTGATTGCTACCCATCCATTCATTCTTTCATCAGAGACTGTTGGTCTGAGGTTCCAGGTAACAAACTGTGCAATCTTAAAGGTAACCTATCCCACTTGACCTTCATCCTACTACAGTAATAGATGGTGGGAAATGGCTTTGGCTAGGCTACATATTGGTCATACACGCTTAACTCATGGGCACTTATTGGAATGGCACCCTGCTCCATATTGTCCCACCTACAGTCATGCACCTCCCTGTAGAATGTCCCAATTTTCAGGACGATCATGTCTTACCTTCCTGATGGCCCTAAGGGACACTTGTCCCTCAGTAAAATCCTTGATGAATCCGATACCTTTAATATCGCTCGCCTTATGCACTTTTGTTCTCATATTGTTATCTTTGGTGACATCAGCGGCTTTTGAATATCTTACGACACTGATGGTGTTAATAGTCTCTTCCCGGCTTGGTGCCTTTTTGATAATTACTTTTCCTGTGAGCTCGCCTACTTCGAAGGCTGGAGAGAGGGGGGAAGAAATGAGACCTGGGTGGCAGGGGTTCTAAATAAATAAAATAAAATAAATAAATATATATGTGTGTATATAAAATAAATAAATATATATGTGTGTATATACTCCCTTGAGTAAGGGAGCCTTACTCAAGATGAATCAGGTGGCGGCGTCCGGCAGTGTGCCACTGATGGACCGAGTGATGCTGAGGGTGCCAGATTAACGCCCACTCCTCCCCTTAGTTACACAGCCAACGGCAGTGCCTCTCTTATGTCCGATTGGTTTTTATCTAAAAAACAAGTGATACGATAAGATCTGTTGACGTGTATGCCATATCGTGTCCTGATGGTCTCTGGACAATTTACTTTGTAGCCTAGTTAGAGATGCGACATCACAGATCATTGGCTGACTATTTTTCGACTAAAAATAACGATATAGTAAACCTCATATTTCGTGTTTACTAGACAGTTTTTCTTGACACACACTCGTCGCTGCTGTAATTTTGTAAGTTTTGAACCAAAGGCGTCTTGGGCTGAGAGAACCAGTGAGAGAAATCATCCCAGCGAGGAGTGCAACACAAACCACTGCTCACACCACCATGGACCAGCTCACTGTCGCGGTCTTGGGTAAGACTCTTTCTTACTTCTTTATTTTTTGTTATACTTTACTTCATTTATTATGCACCCCATACCCATCCTGTGGGCGATAGTGAAAAGGTTGGAGCGCTCCCCTCCTCTACAATGTCACGTATTTAAACTAAACTAAACAAAGCTGTTAAAGAGAAACAAAGAGTTAGTTTAGTTGAGTTTATTTATTATGCACCCCATACCCATCTTGTGGGTGGTGGTGGAAAGGGTTACAGAGGCACATAATGGGCTCAGGGACTGAACCCAATAATTCATTTAGCTAAGCAAGTTACAATCTTGATGAGCTAGTTATAAAATTCAATACACATCGTCATATCGTCATTGGGTTCGAGATCGACCACAAGTACTGTTTCTAAATTAAGCAACAGACATATGAGGAGAGCTAGTGTCACAATTGATATGTTTGTCCTGCACACCGCCCCCATCCAGTGGGCAGCGGTGGATAGGTTACAGTCACTTAGTTACTATCTACAGTTAGCAAACTGGGGATATTTGGCTAAGATTTCTGGTAGCAGATCATTTTGAATTAAATATTTACACATTCTGGAATATTTGTTATAGAATGGTCTCTGTATTCACGTATCTTTTCGCACTCCATCACATAGTGACGGAGGGTGTGCGAATAATTTTGTTGACACAGTTTGCTACCGAAGAAATATAAGAAAATTCACTTTCGCAAACAGTGGTAGACGGTTGGAACAAGTTAGGTGAGAGGGTGGTGGAGGCCAAAACCGGCAGTAATTTCAGAGCGTTATATGACACAATACTGGGAAGATGGGACACCACGAGCGTGGCTCTCATCCTGTAACTACACTTACATAAGCAGACATGCGAGCTGGGAGTGCTCTGATGTAGCCCTAAGGGTCCGGATTAGATTTCCGATCAAAACAAACAATCATTAAGCAATCAATAAGTGTTTTACAGTTCTTCAATTATTGGTTTTAAAGGTACAGTAAAAATAATATTTTAATTTTAATGCAAATTTATTATGAGAATTGAAGAGTTAAAATCGTATTACTTACATAAATATATCTTATAATTTGTAAAATGACAAATGTTTGGTGGGTTTTGTGTTCATCACTCTTGTCCTCTCCTGCCACTGCCAGGGGGCAGCGGATTCTTGGGGCAACACGTTGTCTCGGAGCTGCTGACGGAGGCACAGAAGATGGGTGAAGGCGAGGGTCAGGAGACGAAGGCCACCCGGCCATTGTGCATTAAGGAGATTTGGGTCCTGGACGTGAAGCCATACACACCCTGTGTCGGTAAGTGGTGAAGGGTAAAGAAAATAAGGGAGAACAGAAGTGTTCTGAGGATGTTCATTGTAACCGTCACCTTGAGATGATGGTGATGTGGAGGACCCGTGACTGGTACTGACGGAGGCTGCACTGAACACACAGGGACTTGGGTGTAGTGGGTCATAGTATATTAATAGATGTACAGCACAGCAATCTGACACTTGTTTAATGTGTGTGTATAATATTTCATTGTTCGAAGATCACGCTAAGGGACATTAACGTGGTGTGACATACATTGGTGAGTTCTGTTAACAATTATATATAGCGGCCTCTCCTCTTGAGCAGAGTCAACGTCAACGGACACAAGAGAGAAATATGTAGTAAGCAAAGAAAAATAGGTCGGCGAGTCAAGTACATCAGACAACCGACGGTTAAAAAGGCGGGGTCTAAGAGCTAACAGCTCGATCCTGTATGTACACATAATAGAGTAAATATAATCTGCACGAATGTGGAGCACAACCTGTCCTCAGTGAGGAAATGCGCTCACGGGAATGTCAGTTAGTAATGCTTTTTTCATTTTTGTTTAATTCACTAATTCAGTTTGCTAATTATGTTTTATACTCCCTGAACGTCTCGGTCAGTGTAGGTGTTGTTATTAACAAGTTCTGCCAAACGCAGACATTAGAGTCGCTGGTCTCAAGAAGAAACTTGTGAACATTGAAGACATTGTAAATTTAAGGTACGATGTAATTTATTCTCATTACTTAAATCTATAAAAATAAAATTATCCTGTGGCCTAACTACAGTAAATTTGTAATGAGGCCTCGGAATGTTTAACACAAAAATGATAGCACTACCGGGCGGTGAATGTCCAGCCGTTACTTACAAGTTTAGGGGGCCTTGCGTTGCTTAGATATATGATAACGAACTGTTTAAGGCTAAGATTATTAATTGTTAACATAGCTTCTTGTGGAAAAAATATATCTGGGCATACGCCGCTGCATTCTTCACTCATGTGAAATAACGGAACATTCTTGCCGATTTTGCTTAATGTTCCGGCACTGCTGTATAACAACAATGGTACGATAATACAGATAAAATTTTATCTTCAATGTCCTTGTGTTTTTTTTTTGTCTTTGAAAGATATACAATCACCCGTCTTGAAGATGCTGGTGCCAACATGACAATGAATCATACAAGGGTTCAAGGTTATGTTGGCAAAGTGTAGCTTTGACGTCCTCTAGCTGGCTACAGTTGGTTTGTCCTTGCAACATTTCATGCCCAGAATTTCCTGGTGATGAAAAATATTGTAACATAATTGAAGGGAAGCAAATAATCACTTTGACGCCAGTTTATAGGTAATAAACGCGAGTTTAACTTCCTCCCACAGTGTCGCCGTCAGACACAAGAGTCAAGGTAGTGTTCAAGGAATGTGACGTGCGGGAACTGTCGCAGCTGAAGGAGGCGCTGGCCGGGGCCGCCGCTGTCATCAACTGTGCGGCAGTCCTCCCAAACTTCACTCGAGAGGACCTGGGCTGCAACAGCTATATGCGACAGGTCAATGTTGACGGTGAGAGTCAAGTATACCATTTGGTTTATTGGAATTTATATGTTATAATCCTCCCTTGAAGATTTTCCCGGACGTAGGAATATATTGTACATATTTTGACATATGTGATGTATTTTTGTATTACCCTATGCACGTTTAGATGAAAAAAGTAGGCCAATAAGACGAAAGCAGCATATGGATCGAGGTGTTGTTTTGTAGTGTAAAAACTGTTGTTGGGCTCAGTGACTAGGTAGTAGGTACTACCAAGGCCACACGGCAGTAGTCTTGTAGCAGAGGCTCTGCGGTGTCCTCTCTTACCCCAAAAGTGGTGAGGACGGAGTCAGCCTGCGTTGAAGGCAAACAGCGGATGCCTGTTAGCGAGAGGGTTAGACAGTATTGAACGAAATCTTGAGTTATCAAATAGGTCCCTTAAAAGTGTCATTAGACGAGAACTCCTGGATGGATTTGAAGAAAGTAGAACAATGCAAACTGGAACTAGCAGGTCCATTGTTCATCACAATGAAATATGTGAAGTAAAACATGTGTATGGGGCAAGTAACAAAGTCAGTAGACTAACAGATGTTGTCACAGCTCGTATAAGACTTGGCTACAAGTATCTCTGGCAGTTCGGCTTGTATAGGGATCTAGATGAAGTAAAGTGTAAAGTGTGTGGACATAGGCAGGGACACACACTCGAACACTATATCTTGGATTGTTGTAAAATTGAGCCTTTTAGAGATAAATCTAAGCTCACTCTGTATGATATGGCAACCTATCTTATTACCATGGATAAATTACCTGAAATCCTTGCACTGTACCCACATTTTGCTTCCAGTAGATGAACGACATATGAGATTCAGAAACAAGTAGTGTATTGTGAGGACTAATAATAATCAGAAGCTCCCCTATGACTCTGTAATATCCCCATTGGCCAAACTATTATGTATTAGCGATAAGACCTACCATTAATGTATGATGACTTACTGTAAATATGTAGCTCTTGTAATAGCACTTTCTCTGTAACTAGCTGACATTGTATCTATAAGGTGTGAAGGATTGAAGAAATTGTTTATGTAATAATCTAAGATGAGGTCTGATAAAGACCTTTTGTGCCCTCTGTAATGCTTTTGCGCTACCGCTCACAGGATGAGTATGGGGTGCACAATAAACTAGCCGCCTTCGGCGGCAACAAAAAAAAGAGAGGGTCACACGGTACTGCAGAGCAAGGTTAAAATATTAAAGAATGTAGTAGTACATCGACGTTATCTGCTTGGTACGCTTCTCAGCATTTTTGGTTGCCTTATCATATTTATCTTCATCTTATCTCCCTTGCTTATTTTAGATTTTTTTTTTACTAAGTACTTACTCTCCCAAATTCTACTATTGATGGCACCAAGTGGGAGATCCACCACTCTGCACCACGTGACCCTCAGTGGTGCCAGCAGGAGGGCCCTCAACTCCACGTGCTCTCTACTGGCCTGCTTGATTGATTGATTGATAAAGATTAAGCCACCCAACAGGTGGCACGGGCATGAATAGCCCGTAAGTGGTGGCCCTTTCGAGCCATTACCAGTATCAATAGATGATACTGGAGATCTGTGGAGGTGCGACTGCACCCTGCGTGACGGGAGATGTCTCCCGTGTCCTGCTTGGTCTTAAGGAGATTTTTATACTCGATGACTTGGCGATTCCAGGAAATTACTCAAATTCCTGTAATACTAAAGCTCAATACCTCCCCTAATCTTAAAGTATTTAGAATTAGTAGTTAGTAATTATCAAAAAAGGCAACAAGCCGGGAAGACTATGTAGGGAGTTTATAATGATTATTTTGGTAAGAGGATTTAAATCTTTGGCCCCCCCCAAACCACAAGATGACCTAACTAACCCCTGGTGGTTCGATCAACTGACTTTGGGTGTTAGCAGCATTAATGGGATGTCACAATTGGGCTTAACAAGCAAAGGAGACTATTAGCGCCATTTGCTGGCAGGATAGGCATCATGGCACTAACAATAGGCTGGCCTCCCCTCGCAGCTTATTATTCAGCCATAACGTTAAATCACACTGATGAGAGATTCAAAATGTTTTCCCGTTTAGGTGATTTTATTCGTACAGTATTATACTATAGTCTCTTAGTACAGTTGTCTTTGTACTCAACTTACAATTGTGGATCCCGGGTTCGATTGTCGAATGCAACAGGAAAGGTTGGGCATATTATTTTCACCTAATGGGCCTGTTCACCTAACAATAAATTGGTACCAGGGAGTCGAGGTAATAGGTAGGAGTCAAGCAACTATTTTGGGGTTGCACAAGCCTAAAGTATATATATATATATATACTGTATATGTCTCATCAACGGGAATTATGTTATTAATTATTATATATAAATGCCCTTCTCGTTTTATCATATTTTATCATTTATATACTATTTTTTGTATGTGTTCGGTATCATTATTATACCTGATATTACAATCACTCAATCTGCCCCACCTGTGGCGCAGGTGTGAAGAACGTGGTGGAGGCGTGCTGTGAAGCGGGTGTGGGGGTCCTCGTCCACACCAGCACCATCGTCGTGGTCAAGACGGCTGGCAATAGGCTACTGGAGCACACAGAGACCCTCACGCCCCGGGGCCCAGAGAAGGACCTCCTGCTGGGTGACTACGCTCTCATGAGGCTGCGCGCTGAGCACATTGTCCTTGGTGCTCATCTCACGCCTCTCAGCACAGGTACAGTTAAATGGTCGTCACCTTAGTGTAGCAGACCAAACGTAGATTGAAATTGAAATAAGTTTATTGAGGTAAAATACACACAAAGGGATGAGGTAGCTCAAGCTATTCTCACCCCGTTCAGTACATCGTGTTAATACATACGTAGACACACATCACAACCAATAAACATATTACCGAACATTCTGAGAGATAAACATATACATTTCCTAGGCAAACGTAGATTAGTGTCGCATTTATTTGGTTAACGTTTATTAACTAGACCTATTTTACAAGGAATGGAAACTAATTCTCCTACTACTGCAAGATGGCTGGGCTTTGACTTTACTCCTTAATCACCCAATTGATTGTCTTCCCCCCTTTTGCCACGTCGGTGGATGTTTCCTCCTACTTAACCGAATGGGACCAGCTCTCAATTCTTTAAAATAAGATTTCTGTCCGAAACGCTATGCGTGTTAGTGGCTTTACAAGAATGTAAAAATACCAATCTTATGTAATCTCACAATCCCATTGTACCTTCTTATGAATACAAATAATAATAATAATAATAATAATAATAATAATAATAATAATAATAATTATTATTATTATTATTATAATATTTCCTTGGTGACTAAAGACTGCACCGTATACTGCCCTCGCTGCAAGCGTGATGGTCATGGCCACATATCTTGCACACTGCCGCATTCAAAGATATGTTTGGTCCACCTACGTGAACCTAATATTTTGAATTTATAGTGACTGACAAGAATCGTTTGTTGATCTTTAGCTCCACATTCGCCAGCTTCAGTCCGTTAGCACAGAAGTTGTCTTACACCTCAGACAGTCTTGCACACACGTTGGCGGGGTCTAGTCTCAAGAACAAGCAGGCTAACCGCTTTTTTTCCTTGCTTTGCGTTGATGAAGTTCTAATAATTATCCCCAAAAATCCCTTCTGAATGCTAGAGTGGTTACTCTCAACTACGGCGCCTGAGCTTCTTCACGAACGCTATATACCCTCACGCTGCTCCTCAGGCGCTCTCGAGCTCACATCACCTTCTGAGTTGTTGTTGTTATAGATTCAGCTACTCGGAACAAGTTCCAAGTAGCACGGGCTATGGTGATCCCGTAACTTACCTGGAACAGGAGCGGGGCAAGTAGCACGCGCTATGGTGAGCCTGTAGTGGACTTACCTGGCACAGGAGCGGTGCTGTGAGAGTCCAAGCTTCTGAGACTGAATCTGGCGCCTCACTCTGCTTCTAGGAGTGTCCCTCTCGGCCCCTTCCCCACCGCCTTTGCACGTCCACGTCCCTTTATCCTTACCCCTCCAAGTTTATTTATTATTAACATCTTTATTGACAAAATTAATTACAATTTTGCCTAATCTGAGGATTTCGATTAAGTCTTATTAAAGACTTATATTCACTGTCACGCAGGACAGAGGGTCACACATAAGACAATAGGTCTCAACTGTAGGCGGAAGTACATATATATCATGGTTACAATCAATGTTTTAATGTTTGGATATGTGAAAACAACTTTCTATTGTGCACTGCCACACAAGGGCAGGGATGGGTTCATAAGTGATGCAGCTTAGAAGTAATATAAATAAAAATTGTTCTTCATTCTTTAAAATGGACAAGCAAATTTTGGATAAATTGTTAGGCAAGTGAAGTCCTGCCCCGTCTCTCCGCACACCCATTGTCGGTGAAAACCCCACCAGCCCTCATCTGCACTTATGTTTGGTTGCCCTACATTGTGCTTGAGGCTGTTGCCTCTTGTGTATCACGGTGGGCCTTTTAAAGAAATGACGTGAATTCACATCTTCTAATTTATTAATTACTGTAAAGGTCTCGACGAAATCAGCCCTCTCGTATCTTGTTTTTTTTTTGAGATATATACAAGAGTTGTTACATTCTTGTACAGCCACTAGTACGCGTAGCGTTTCGGGCAAGTCCTTAATCCTACGGTCCCTGGAATACGATCCCCTGCCGCGAAGAATCGTTTTTTCATCCAAGTACACATTTTACTGTTGCGTTAAACAGAGGCTACAGTTAAGGAATTGCGCCCAGTAAATCCTCCCCGGCCAGGATACGAACCCATGACATAGCGCTCGCGGAACGCCAGGCGAGTGTCTTACCGCTGAGGTGTCAGTCCTGAGGCCCTCAGAATTTCCTTATGAGAATTCACTTAGATGTAGGACTTTTTTCAGCTATGTCTGGAGGGCAGTCCAGACATAGCCTAGACCGATATAGTAGATATAGATTTAGTAGAGACCTCTACTTTAGCCAGGTTGTGAGAGTTGATTCCCTCATACCCCTTCGAACTGTTGCTAGTAATTTTATTTTGGACGCCAAGTCATCTGAATAACTGATATATCTAAGCTGTCTGTAGGAAGCTATGCTTTCACGTAGGTGAACTTCGATAGGAACAATGGGAGAACCACAGATATGAGTATGGTAGGCTACAACATTTTCCACGTCTCTTCCAAGAAAAGCATTTTTAATTCGTGTAATGGCTGCTAGGCTTTACACGAGGTGATTGCTGTGTAGTATATGTGATTTTCTCTCTCTCAGGAGCGAAATTGCAGACAGTGGTATTACGACCGCCAATTACCTACGGCGAGGGGGACACCAGTTTTGTGCCGCTGGTGTTGGGAATGGCCAGAGCGGGCGGCAACAGGCTTCCATCAGTGGGTAACCCAGAGGCCTTTCTCCAAGCAGCTTATGTTGGTAATTATTCTGAGTAATATTAACATGTACTTATTGTGAGTTGGTTCTGGCACATGTGAGATCACTTTCTGATTTAAATGAAGTAGAATTAAAATTCTTACATGTAGATACAGCGAATACATTTTATGACAAGTGCTGATTACCGTAATTAAAGAACATTAAAGTTTAGAGGCGCTAGAATTGACATCTAAATGTCAGAAATAAATTTTTTACAGTAAATAGACACCACCTTTGAAGCTAGTTATATATACCTCTACCACGTGCTGCTCTGCAGGGTCAAGCTAATATGGAAGACGAGGGCAGGGATGACGAGATTGAGGGGGAGAGAGATAGAATATCCCGGGCACCGCCGGATACCCCTCCTATAGTAACCTACTGTATAAAAAATTTGAAGACACCCATTTACCGGGGCAAGATGAGAGGTGCCGTCAAATAATTTACACTTATTCAGGACTGCGACTTCAGTGCTTATCCTAAACAAAAATATACCTTGTTTCCAGGTAACGTGGCGGTAGCTCACGTGAATGCCCTTGGGCACCTGATCTCTGGTAGAAGTGACGGCATGGAGGGATGTGGTGGGATGCCAGTGTATGTGACAGACGACACACCCCCTCACAACCTGTCGGGCCTGGCCGAGCCTTTCCTGCACCACTTGAGTCTTCAACCTTCGAAGAACCATTCATACTGGATCATTTCTCTCATGATGCTGATCGCCAGCATCTGGGCCATGTTCTGGTCTCTGTTGGGCTTCAAGAAAGAGAGAAACCTGTCATCTCTGCCGCCACTAACACTGCACCGCCTGGCTGCCACCATCACTGTGGTGAGTCGCATGCGCGCCGAGCTGTACCTCGGGTACACTCCACGGTACACCTGGGACCAGGCTCAGCACCGATCAAACTCTTACTACACTAAATATCTTGTTTAGTTCTCAGCCACAGGTAGAGCTACAGCTTATTATGTACTGACTCGCTTCACCAGGGAGAAAGTTTTATATATAAATAATATATATTTTATATATAAAATATATATACATATATAATATATACATTTTATATATAAAATGGTCCCAAGTTCAAATATTGATTTGGAGGCAGTATATTAGTTTCGTAATATAGTGTAAGCCAGATTCCAGAGTATAAACATGTCCCCACTCATTTACCTGTAGAAAACCAATGGCCTGCTCCATGATACGGGGTATACTCATCTCAAATTACTTGTTACCATCCTGTAATATATGTCGAAAATATATATATATTGTCGATTGCTACTGTGTTTCAATGCCCATCTGCTTGGTTATTCTAAAGAATTTTGACAACTTATTAAAGAGTTGCAGACAAGCTGCAACACAATAAATACTAACTATATGACTCTCACTTGCAAATCCGGCAAAACTGCCTCAGAACATTGTCATTATCACTCTAAAGGGTGAACCACCCTTCAGAGTGTTTCCACTCTGGTTCCACTTTCCACAGTGGTTCCACGAACCACTGTGTTTCGCCATAAGTAGCGAAAACTATGCAACAAAGTGTGAAAGTTATACAATGACAAGAGAGGAGCGTACAACACTCACAGCACCGCCCCTGTACCAGGTAAGTCCACTATGGGCTCACCATAGACCGTGCTACTTGGAACTTGTTCCGAGTAGCTGAATCTATAACAACAGGAGCGTAGGGCGTGTTTCCCCACAGTAAGCCAGGAGGAGCACTGGTAAAGGTGAGAGCCGCGGGGATGTTTGATCACGACTCTGTCAAGTACATTTTTTAAGGTGCATTTATTCGTGTAGGACAACATAAGTCTTATCATTGTGAGTTTCATTCTTTTGTGGCTCAAAAATCTGTTCTGTGGCCTATACTTCTTAATGGACATATCAAAGTCCAATCTTATTTCAGTATTTCCATACACCAAGAGCACCGTATCTCTGCCTTCGTCTTCACAATTCCTTTCCTTGAATCCATCACAACTCTCACTTTTCCCTTCACTGTCTCCACTTATCATATAGTCCCCGCCACTCCTCTTCTCACTTCCGATTGATTGATTGATGAAGATTAAGCCACCCAAAAGGTGGCACGGGCATGAATAGCCCGTAAGTGGTGGCCCTTTTGAGCCATTACCAGTATCAAGAGCTGATACTGGAGATCTGTGGAGGTGCGCCTGCACCCTGCGTGACGGGAGATGTCTCCCCCGCTATTCCGATTGTTCTCACTTCCAGCATTTATCGTCTTATTTATCGTCTCACTGCTGCCTCCCGTTTCCCAAACACCGTGACGATGATACTGACGTAGGTAGATTTTCATAAGGCAGTATTTAACTTGCATTATATACGAGATGCCTCTTTGTTTTGATAATAGTTGTCAACCCGTCCTCGGGCTGCGAGTTTGAAGTGTTCGGCCAGGTGTTGTTACTTAGGTTTGATCAGCAAGAGAAGGAACCCTTCTTAACATACTAAGCGATTCTGAAGACTTTTCTCTGTCCCTAATTAACATAAGAATTAAAGAAACTGAACTTGACAACTGTCTTGCCATGTATAGAGGCTCTTAATTAGACGTTCACATGACATTTGATACACCTCTATTATTTCTTCGCTCTCTCTCACTATCATCGTATATTTATTATATGCCCTTGGCACAGAATTAAGCCAAACCTCAGTTCATAGCTAAAATTTCTTGGCATTTATGGATGTGTAACAAATCTTAATTCACTGTGAGCTGACGGAATGTATTAATATAGGGACGGTAAATTTGTGCGATTGATTTTATAGTCTACTGTGCTTCCCGTACTCATCCTGTAAGCGGTAGCACAAACAGGATTACAGAGGACACATACTTTTTTTCAGACTTCAGCGAGTATTTTACGGTCACTTAAATATTGTCAGGTTCAAGTTCAAGTAAGTTTATTGAGATAATAAAATACTGTATATCTCAAAAAGGCCTTTTTTTTCTTTCCCAACGTCTCTGTTTCTTTGTGTGTGTGTGTGTGTGTGTGTGTGTGTGTGTGTACTCATCTCACCTAATTGTGCTTGCGGGGGTTGAGCTTTGGCTCTTTGGTCCCGCCTATCAACTGTCAATCAACTGGTGTACAGATTCCTGAGCCTACTGGGCTCTATCATATCTACATTTGAAACTGTGTATGGAGTCAGTCTCCACCACATCACTGCCTAATGCATTCTATTACATCTATCAAGGAAAAGTTTCAGATTAAGATTAGCATTTAGGAACAAGGTTTTGTACATGTAGATAGCACATGAGAATGTGTGGAGTGAGTGTATGTTTAGCATGTTAAGGGACTTAAACAGATGGGCTGTTTGTTGTCAGAAGACAGTTTGTTATAGGTCTAATAACTGATGTTTGCTGAGAGATGATAGGGTTGAGGTAATTTGCAGTGGTTGAACCCTATGCACAGATACCGTATGAGGGATAGATTAGTACGTAGTATAATGAGAGGAGAGCAGAGTGGGGAACATAATATCTGATTTTAGAAAGTCTACCGACCGTTTTTGAGACTTTTTTGGCTATGTGTTGTATATGGGTGCTGAAGGTCAGTCCCTTGTCTATGTATAGGCCATATAAAACTCGCCCTTGTCTATGTATAGGCCATATAAAACTCGCCCTTGTCTATGTATAGGCCATATAAAACTCGCCCCTAATTAAACGCTATATAGATATGCAGATTAATGGCTTTGCAAGCATGTAATTTAATTCTAAAATTGCTATATGATCTACAGTTGAAATGAAAAGAAATTTAGGATTGGCCTAGTTACAGAGGAAGTAGTTAAAAGGTACTCATCAGTGCTTACCAGTATCATAAGTTTTAGTTAGTTTAGTTCATTTATTATGCACCCCATACTCATCTTGTGGGCTGTAGTGGAAAGGGTTACAGAGGCACATAATGGGCTCAGGGACTGAACCCCACAATTCATTTAGCTAAGCAAGTTACAATCTTGATGAGCTAGTTACAAAATTCAGTATAAGTCGTCACATCAACAAAGGGTTCGAGATCGACCACAAGTACAGTTTCTAAATTAAGCAACTGACATATGTGGAGAGCTAGTGTCACAATTGATATGTTTGTCCTGCACACCGCCCCCCCTCCAGGGGCAGCTGTGGATAGGTTACAGTTAGCAAACTGGGGATATTTAGCTAAGATTTCTGGTAACATAATTCTGAATGAAATATTTACACATTGGTTATATAATTATCTCTGAATTCACGTATCTTTTCGCACTTCATCACATAGTGACGGTGTGCGAATAATTTTATTGACACTTGTCAATGTGTAAGTGTCACAACACAAGAAACTTGTGTAAGGAATCGTTCAGGACCCTGTATATCACTTATGTCAGACCAGTCCTGGAATATGCAGCTCCTGCCTGGAGTCCATATCTTGTTAAACACAACACAAAGTTAGAGAAGATTCAGCGATATGCCACCAGACTGTCCCGGAACTGAGTGGTATGAGCTACGAGGAAAGGCTGAAGGAGCTGAACCTCACGTCCCTGGAAATCAGAAGAGTAAGGGGAGACATGATAACCACCTACAAAATTCTCAGGGGAATTGACAGGGTGGACAAAGACAAACTCTTCAGCGCGGGTGGAACACGAACAAAGGGACACAGGTGGAAACTTAGTACCCAGATGAGTCACAGACACATTAGAAAGATTTTTTTCAGTTTCAGAGTAGTTAGTAAATGGAATGCACTAGGAAGTGATGTGATGGAGGCTGATTCCACACACAGTTTCAAATGTAGATATGGTAGAGCCCAGTAGGCTCGGGAATCTGTACACCAGTTGATTGACAGTTGAGAGGCGGGACCAAAGAGCCAAAGCTCAACCCCCGCAAGCACAATTAGGGGAGTACTTGATTTCTGGCAACATATCATTTTTATTGAAACATTTACACATCGGTTATATAATTATCTCTGAATTCACGTATCTTGTCGCACTCCATCACATAGTGACGGTGTGCGAATAATTTTATTGACACAGTTTACATAAGGTCACTTCAAGGTACTGTACAATATCTTCGAGCCCGAGTCGTAGGGCTGGCAGCGGCGTGAGCGAGGACAACAACAACAACAGTCAGCTGATGTTGACTGTGAAGGAAGACACGTGAGGTGGTCACCACACTCAACTATTACTATAACGAAGTGGTCATTACGGTGGGTGGGGCCACTACAATTACACAAACGTTGTCTCAGTTGAAAGAGCAGAAGGGTTGTAGTAATCATCAATATAATCATTGATGATTATATTTATTCAGACTTTGCTGCGGCCTCTTGTAATGTTCATTGACGATTATTCAAATTTTACTGCCGCCTTTTGTACTGTAGTGTTCTTTGATGATTATATTTATTTAGATTTTGCTGCTGCCTCGCGGCTAGTTTAATGTGCACCTCGTACTCGTCCTGTGAGTGGCAACGCAAAAGTGGATTACCTTGCACATAGAGCACAAACGGCCTTAATTAGACCTCGGCGGCTATTTTACATTCACACTTTCACCTAATCAACATACTGTAGAATTATAATGACATTTAGTAACAAACATTTTGTACTGCAACATCTGTGAATTTACAATATATTATACATTCCTGATGTCTTGTTAATACCTAAAATAAAATAAAAAAAAAAGTTTGCGATGTTGTGTACCTTGACTTTAGCAAAGCTTTTGATACAGTGCCACATGAAAGACTGGTTAAAAAGATAGAGGCTTATGGTATTGGGGGTGCCATATTAAGATGGATTAGGGCATGGCTACACCAAAGGAAGCAGAGAGTTAGTATAAATGGGGTTAAGTCAGAGTGGGAAAATGTTGTAAGTGGAGTGCCTCAAGGCTCTGTATTGGGACCTCTGCTGTTTATAATATATATAAATGATTTAGATTCAGGTTTTTGGTAATATCTAAGATATTACAAATTTTAGTTCGCAGATGACAGTACATGTGCAGCAATGGTGTTATGTCTTGTTCTACTTAGTCAAATTTTGTTCAAGCAAGCCTTTTTTTTTCACCTTATCTATAGTGACAACTTTTCATCACCCAACCTTGAAATTTCTTGAGTTCCTCACACGTCTTCTTATTATTTTATATGACAATTCACATCCCCTCGACCTGATCACATTCTCTCTTACTGTTGTTTATGCCCTTGTGTGCCTCATTTGTTACAGTATAAATATTTACAGTAGTTTGCTTATCTATAATAAGATTTTTGGTACTGTAATACAAATTACCAAATTTGTATTTACTGGTTTGATGCCTTCTTTTGATAATTACTTTACTTTAGCACTAAGATATCAGGTCAACTCATAGTACACAATTCCTACCACCCCATAGAACTGTATCCACAATCTTTGACCTAGGTAACAAAGGGTTCCCTAAAAGGTTTGCTTATATAATTATATGTGCATATGTTAACATTTTATTAATTAAACCACCCTACAGCAAATGTAGGAAGCTTAAAATTATAAGTGGAGAAGGGTCCTACAGTTTAGTTCTGACACTACTAGCAATAAATGGTACATTATCAGTCTTTTTGGTGGCTACTTTGTTCTCTACTGTAGCCAGTAATAACTTATATTTTTTTGAGGTGTAAGATACACTAAATAGAGGTGTCACATTATTTCCAAAGGTTTTGCATGGTTTGGGATGACTCGCAATGTTGTGTGATAAGGCATTGTAATACAGGTTCCTCTAATATAACTAGGTAAAACTATGGCAGCCACAACAGCCAGAAAAGCCATAACTAGTAATATTAATACCTGTTAATATTCTTCAAATTTTGCTACAAATTACGTACTTAAAATTATCTATTAGATTAACGACCTGCCTGAAATGCTATGGATGTTAGTGGCTTTGCAAGAGTGTAAAAACAGTGCTATGTACTCTCATAAACCCAATGTACCTTCCTGTATATAAATAAATAAATAAATAAATAAATAAATAAATAAATAACTAGTCACTTTGAAGCGCAGATGATGAGATCCCTGACTGCAAGAGCTTAACCATGAGTGAGACTGCAGAAGTTTACCTTTGGGAACAACCAAGTGCATTCAAAGCCTAATTTTTGCATGTACTGTATATAGCAATCCTTTTTTTTTTATTTGCTACAATTTTATTTTAATTGTAGGACTGTGCTCTTTAAATTTGAGCTTCCAAGACAGCAGAAGTCAATATGAATGCCATAGTCTCCCTCTGCCACTTCTGTGAGCTGCATGGCCCCAGCGTTGTCTTCTGTACCCAGGCTTTCAGAGATCATCTTGACTTGGATGTATTGACTGATGGTGGAGCTTTGGAGATTTTGAACGGCATGAGTTTGCAAGATAAAGAACAGGTGAAGGTACGGTACTTTAATTAGTACAGTCATCATGTTTTTTGTATTTTTATGAATGTTGCTTTTAGCTGAATTTGAACATGCACAAAATTTTTTATTTTTTAAGTATACTGTATTTGCATTTACAGACTGCTGGTGAATGTAAGTGATCATAACCTCCATGTTTTGAACCTATGCAGTAAATATATAGAGATCATTTTGACATTATTTGTGCAGTTGACATTCAAAGCTTTGTGGGCTAAAGTAGTTATATCAAATTCAAAATTAAAATCAGCTGCACAACTTTGTTTTAACTATTCTAAGACCTCAATGTTATTCCATTAATCCAAGTTCCTTAGCCTCGGCACTACTGCTATACTGTGCTTTTAATGTTTCATCACAAAAACACAAAAACAGTTATTTATTTTGCTAGAAATTAAATGGTAGGAACAATGGAAAAACAGTTTAAGTTGTAGAAAATTTTATGGTAGAAACAAGAAATAAAATAAAAAATTGTTTGCTCTAGTGTTGGCCTGGTGCATTTACAAAATATTGCACAGGTAGCTCGGAGTGTGTTGGTGTGGACACTTTTACTGGTGGCTCAGAGTGTGTTGGTGTGGACACTTTTACTGGTGGCTCAGAGTGTGTTGGTGTGGACACTTTTACAGGTGGCTCAGTGTGTGTTGGTGTGGACACTTTTACAGGTGGCTCAGTGTGTGTTGGTGTGGACACTTTTACAGGTGGCTCAGTGTGTGTTGGTGTGGACACTTTTACTGGTGGCTCAGTGTGTGTTGGTGTGGACACTTTTACAGGTGGCTCAGTGTGTGTTGGTGTGGACACTTTTACATTATTTACACACTATTTTCTAGAAATTATTGTGTACTGTATTGTAAATTAATATACTGTATTCACTAATATTGTAAACCACTATATTTTGTCTTATACCACTATATAAACAAGAAAACACTGAACAAATCCACAAGGGCCGTGATGAGGGTTCGAACCTTGTGAGGGCAGTAGCACTCCTGTTTCCAATTCTTTTAACCATGTTGTGGCGCAGTCGACCAAGGCGCATCTGGGATCATCCTAGACATAGGTGTGAACCCTCATCACGGTCCTTGTAGATTTGTTCATATGATGCATCACGCTATTGTGATTTCTGTGTGTAGTGTAACAAAACACTGGTTAATAGATTGACAAAGTTAAAACATTTTTAATTTTTCAAATACTGTACAGTAATCCATTAGCTTTTTATTTATAACAATGAAAATATAATTTTTAATATTAACTTATTTGAGCTCCAGAGCCATCTATTGAAGACAGAGACAACACTTCATAACCTGGTTGCTGTATGCTCTATGGCTACTCTACCCAGTACCACCATGTAGTAAGACAGATACTGTGGCCAAAATGAGTAATAGTAATACTGTATTGTAGGCTAAGTGTTTATCAAATGTTGTGGCCTAAGAAGTTCCTTGAAACTGTGATCAGAGCAATGTTTTAGTAGGTGCCATTCAAACCCACACTCAAGGGAATCTCATCCTGAGATTTTCCACATTCATCGAGAGAATTGTAATGAGCAGGGAACTTAATTTCACCTCATCGTATGAAGAATAACCACCAGGAAAACCTATCAATATTACCTAACTCCTGGGCTTTCCTATGGCCCACCTTATTCATCTACTGATAATAGATGGATAAGGCTACCTATGGAAGGATAGCATTATTCATCAAACTGTAGTTCCATGACTCTGTGAATCATGTTTGGGGGGAGGGGGGGGTTGTCCTCAGTGCTGTGTTGTGTGCAGTAGGGAGGGGTTCGGTGCCTTTTTTTTTTTGGTTATGATGGGAAGTTGGATCTTCATTGTCAGATTACACAGATATGCAGTTTTGCTTGTCCTCTTCTGCCTTTTTTGGGGGGCATTATTTTAGCCAAGATGAGTGCCCCTTCAGTTTTTTGTTCTGCCTTTTTATCTTCTGGAGGCTTGGACACTATCAAATGATAGTTGATATTTGTTAAAAAAAAAATTATTTTTAAATTTTGAGGCTATTAGGTCCTAAGCCAATATGAAGGCATTTGGACAGAATGCATTTTCCTTGTCAGGCTCAAGTTTCTTAATATACTAAATCTTTTCAGGGAGAAGAGACAAATTTATGGAAATATGGAAGGATTCTTAAGGAAACCTTTGCTCAAATGAAAAACACTTCTTCAAATGACACGTGTGTTGCATGCCGTTCATTTTCACACAGCCAAGTAAGTAACTGAGTTTTTGAGAATTTAGACTCGATCCTGTTATACCTTGTGAAATGCTGCTGCTGCTGTGAATGGCTGGCAAAATGAAAAATATTGAGTAAACATTTCATCCATTTCTTTTTCTACTTTTTCAAGTACTGCAGAGTACTGTATTAAACATTCTGCAGCAACATTTGGTAAGAGTTCTGCATGCTATTTAAGCTATCTGGCAAGACAAGTATTTCCCATTCTTTCCATCTTTATTTATACCTCTGGTACTTTATTTCTTTGAGAACTTCCCTGGAGAGTGTGGCCACAACAAAAAAGTCTCCAAACCATTCTATCTATATTATATAATAATTTCTGCTCTTTTCTCATGCATATGTCCAGTGATAAGATATCTTTATTTCCCACTCTGTTGGTTCCTTAGGCAAGATCTTGCTGATCTATAGCAAGAGTCTGGTGTAGTCAGGGTGAGTCAACACTCTGCCGTTGATGCTGGGGATATACATAAAGGTGATACATGTATACAGACTGTATACATAAAGGTGCATTATGTGAATTGAAAAGCTTTATCAGGCACCCTAGCTAACTACCAAACAAAGCTGTCCAGCCCCACCTGCAGTTGAGTCGTCAGCATATTCTGCTCACAATCATGTGGTCCCGGGTTTCATTTCAAAATTTAATCTGTCCTCAGCTTCACAGAAAAAGATGTTTGAGCACATTTCTTTATATCCAAAGTCTCTGTTCACCTAGCGGACTAGGAAACGTTAGACTACTGAAAGGCTACTGGGAAAGTAGCCTTTCCCAGTAGATATTGGCTAAATATTTAGGTTAGATATTGGCCTTGGGGGATGTCAATACAGTACTGTAATCCTAAAAGGATTTCTGTCCCCAACAATTGGAAACCCTTCAATTCTGATTGGCTACAGCTGCAATTTGCTCACAGCCCAATACTCTAATTTAATGCTGTTTTAGATTAAATGGCTTGTATTAATCTTAGGAACGTTTTCTTTGTGCTGTAGGCTTACGGCTATACAGTATTAGTGAATGATTCTTTATTGTTGCACGAGATACAAAATATAAATTTAATTACCTAAAAATATTGTATAAACTATGAAATATTATATTCCCTTGCAGCCTGGTTTTATTAGCAATGATGATTCAGCAAGAGTTAGCTATGTCAGTTCACAGTGCCCACTGCAGTCAGAATTATATTTACTTGTTCGGGAAGCCTGCATAAGATCACTAAGCTGTGAGGTAAGGGAAAAATTGTTCTTGTTAATACTGTAAATATGTTTTCTTGTCAGCTCCAGTAAATACTTTTCAACAGATATTCCAATATTAGTTATAGTTTAATATAAGACACTTACAAAAAAGTGCTCAGAAATGTCAACCTCCTTACTTTAAAAAGCAGAAATATGATAGAAATGGCCAGGCTAAAGTTAAATAATTGGTAGATTCATTTTTTGAAGATGGGATAAATATTTTTCCTCTATTTACAGGTATGTCCTGGAAGAGAAGGGCCTATTTATTTTGGTGATGAGTTTCGTGGGCATGTGCTGTCTCATACTTTTTTTCTGCGTGATGTTCAAGCTAGAGGATTTCAAAGATGGTAGGATTAACACCATCTAGTTACAGATTACATTAATATTCCAATTATCCAAACTCCAGATACATGACTAGTCCAGTTAATATAACATTTCTAGACTATATCAGCCGAAGTTGATTGACTATCAATATCTGACCTTGGAGCTTTATCGGCTGTTTTACATACAGTATATTGTATTCAGATCTTGCCATTGATTATTTGTAAGTAGTGATTACTTACTAGTGATTTTTGTTTTTGGATATAACCATAATCTTAGGTTTAAATAAGTAAGCTTGTAATGCTAATTGTCTAGTATTTGGATTTAAAGTGACATTATAAGCTAAATATTGGTGTTAGTTATCCACACAGATATTGAACTTTTCAATAGAATCTTTTCAATCCTTTTATTCTAAGATGTTTTAAGTATTTTGCGACACAGGGTTCCCAATTGATACTTGAGGACCCCATGCATTATCCACCATCTTGATAAGTGACCCAATTTTTTTTTATCGTTCCTATGCTCAGGAAACAATTCAAAATTGATTTGAATTTTCGATTGGGCACATAGAGATAATGCTTGATTTAACTGAATGAACTGCACAAAAGCTCTTCAGTACTGAATAATGCATGACCTTACATCTGGGTCATAACAATGCACATCAGAATTACTACAGATTGAAAACGAAAAATACCTCAGAGTAATGATTCATTAGTCATTGAAAACTGCTCCATGTGGGCTACAACATTTGAGCTGGAAGTCTTCACCTTTAAAAGGCATAACTGCTTTGGAACAGGCTCAGTGTAGAACAACAAAAAATTATCTCAGATCCTAGTAAACTTTTATATTAGGAAATGTTGAAGGCCTCTGGCCTAACAACATTACAAGCCCATCGTGACAGGGTAGATCATTGAGACTTGAACACTTATTTAACCTTTAGACTTCTAAGCTATTTAAAAGTTCTACATCCAAGTGTGCATGGAAAAAAAGTATCAAGAACCCATAAAGATTAATTGCATTTAGTGATTTGAGTTCAGGAGGAACTTGCATGTAGGGATGGGTACAGTGTAAGGGTTGAAAGGTCCAATATAACTTCCACAATAGCAACAGCTTCAAGTGCAACAAGCTACAGTGTAAGACAATGAGCAGGAGATGCTTTTTCATGCAAAGGGTAATAACCACATGGAATCGCCTATCTGTCAAAGAATGCCAAGACTACTCGAGTTTAAAATCAAACTGAGAAAACCTCAGAAATTATGGGGGGGATCTTTGACAAGCCACTGGCCTCCTGCCTCAATTGTGGCCAATAGAGAGAGGGTGGCCCTTAGGGAAATTCAGGAATATAATGTTTTACAAACAATTTTAAGAGTTATTAACAGTACTGTAAAGCACAGTTCATTGTAGTGTAAAATAAAATGCACACACAAAAAAAATTATTCTTGATTATGTTATGAAAGCAATTTGTTATGGTATTCAATATATGGCATATTGATGCCACAGCCTGCGTCACCACACATGCATGTAAAATTGAACCAAGACTGTGCTGAACTAATTAACAATTTATATTCATCCTTTCATAAAAATGTTCTGTGAACCAGGAGTTGACTATGCTTGCCACTTAACAAGTTGGTACATGCAATCTAATGCTTAAAATTCACATATTTCACTGATGAATATTTGCTTTCAGGTATAGCATTTTGATACTCATGAAAGACAAAATGCTACTGCTCAATTCTTGGCCATTTATCGTGCGACACCTTCGCCAGACAATCATCCACCTTCAAGAGAATGCTTCCAAGGTAGGGGGGGGGGGGTACATAAATTAAAAACAAGAAATTATTGTCAGAAAACTTTGTTAATGTTTTGTGTTAAATGTTTCCATATTGTATATTGGTTTAAAAACGTTTAAAGGCTTGGGAATAGTGTGTATGGGTTCATAGATGGGGATTTGATTGCATTGTAGGGCTTCAATATTATCTCAGTATCTGTGTTTCTGTTCTTGTCAGGTGTATGAGAGTGAAGAAACTAAAGTTAGTCACCGAGCATTAAGATCTACAGCCTGTATGGTGGACAGTTTCCGTAAGCGGGGTAAGCATGAAAATTAAGGCTCTCTCTTTTTTTTTTTTTTTTTTTTTTTTTTTTGAGATATATACAAGAGTTGTTACATTCTTGTACAGCCACTAGTACGCATAGCGTTTCGGGCAGGTCCCTGGAATACGATCCCCTGCCGCGAAGAATTGTTTTTTCATCCAAGTACACATTTTACTGTTGCGTTAAATATTTTACTGTTGTCTTTCATTGACAAACTTATTTTGATTGTGATGGGAATTCTTTTGTCACAGGAAAGTAATAGTTTTGTCAGTATCATAAGTCTGACTCTCCTGAGTTACCACATTTGACTGATCCTGATATGCAGCACATAATTAGTGTCATAATAAAAAATATAAATTTCTATCCTTAAAATTTCTTAGGTATATATTTTTTCTTAGTTTTTTTTTATATACAGTACTGTATAGAGTAATAATAATAATATTATTGCAATGAAATCACAATGGCATGATATATCAATAAAAATCATTTTGAGGCAATGGAATTTCCTCAAAACGATTTTCATTGATATATCACGCTATTGTGATTTCATTGCGATCTAATGAGGGCCTAAGAGTGTGAATGCCCATTTCCAAAGATCAGAGTGGGGTTGGGTCGACTGTAAAACCCTGGTTGGGCTCTGGTTTGAGACCTCCAGAATCTCTCATTGAATTCAGTAGAGTTCTGGGTTGATTGACTTTTGTACCATCATGGTCAAGTCGGTTAACCCTTAAACCACGCAAAACATACATACGATTTGACATAACTCAAGTTTTTAAAACTTGCACAAACACTTTCAATTATTTTGTGCATAATCAACTACGCAAATCCTCCAACTTTGTCTAAATGATCACAAAGTAACTTGAAAAACAAGAGAATCAAAAAATTTTTTAAAATTGAATATTGAAAACTTCAGATTTTCAAATTGGAATAAAAAATATAAACTACAGTATCATCAATTGTTCATTTGGTGTTATTATTCTCTCAGAATAGCATATGATCTTCATTTTCCTCAAATTAGAATATAGGTTTTCAGTACCTGTATACAGTGTAGTTTACAGTAAAAAAATTGTCAATATGGCATTTGAAATATGCAGCAAATTTGGACCCCAAAAAATAACTCCAAACGTGTAGGGTTTATGAAAAATCCATGCTGATGGGATTGTAGAACAGACAGCTGAGCACACAATATGTCAAAATGGTGAGAATCGGTCAAAAACTGGAATTTAGAAGTCACTCAAAGTTGAAACTCTTGTTTCAGAGATAATTGAAGCTGAAGTTACCAACAATGAATAAAGGTAGTTCTAATTCATTAATTTAATTGTATGTTTTAATAAACATTGCTTGGCATTCATACTTGGCATTTGTTCATAAGAACAGCATTTAAGAATCTAACCTAGGGGGCTTTTAAGTCCATATTCACTGCCTATGTAAGACCATTGCTGTAGTAGGCAGCTTCAGCATGGAACCCGCACTTCTTGCAGTGTAAAAGGAAACAAGAAAATACAGATGTTTGCAACTAGATTAGTACTGTACTAGAATTAGGAGGACTCGGTTATGAAGAACTCACCTCTCACAATGTTAGATAAGAGAAGAAATAGAGAAAATATGATCACTACATACAAGATATTGAGGGGAAATAGACAACATGGATCAGGGCAGCCTATTTAAATTGAGAGAAGGTAGGACAAGATGATGTCATTGGATGTGAAACACAATTGAGTTAGAGATATAAAGCAATACTGGAATCCTGTATGGGTGAGTAACAAGGAAAATGCTTTGGTGAAAAAATTGGTTGAAGTCACTTTTTACTCAATTTTTTTTTTAAATTTGATACATTTAAATATCAAGTAGAGTAATTTATCACTGCCAGGTATACATTGCTAGAAGGTGGGACATAAAAGCTATATCTTGCTTGCCAATAATCTGTAATAGGTAAACACCAATAGATCAGCTAGTTTATTCTGGAAGCAAACCTGATACTCATCTCCGGTGAGTCTAGATTGTCCTTAGGTGCCAGGCATAATTATCATGTCCTACTAGAGCCAGTAACATAAGCAGGAAAACTACTGAGCTACTACCTAGAAATGAGCATGTCATTATACTCAAATCTAATTTAAGAAAAAATCATTAGTTATTTCTTCAGTATTGGTAATTATTCCTTCAGTGGCTGGTCAACCCAGATCCCTCTCTGAGCTAGTCGGTGAACAAGACGTATGGCAGCATTTGCACTCATCATTTACGTGGCTTTTGAAGGCTGGTGGACTGAGGCTTCAGGAGAGACTTGTTGAAGGTCCTCCAGTCAACATCTATGTTTCAGATGGCTCAAGTGTCAGTGGCGGTGAGTTTCCCCAGTGTATATTTTGTTTGTGAGAATGCAATATTCTTCGTACAGGCTCTCTACTCTCTCTGTTGCAGGAGGAAGACATATTACAGAGGAGCATCTTTGTTGTTGCATAGTTTACCATTTTTAGCTTCATGTGTGTGTGCTGCAGAGCAATGGGTGCAAATGACCTTGGATTAGGCATTCTGCTAAGCAGGGAAGCATATCTTTTAGTTTGCAACATCTCCTGCTGTAGATTTGACTACATGTAAACTGTCAGCATAACTATTCGCATACTTTGTGTCATTATATAATGGAATGTGAAAAAAAGTCACAGAATTCAGAGATAACACCATCAACAGAGTCCAAGAAATGTGTAAATACTATACTTCATTCATAATGATGTACTGCCGGGAATCTTAGCGAAGTATCCAAAATTTGGTTACTGTAGGTAATGCATGCACCTGAGTGTAAAGCTGCCACCCAGTTGGGTGCGTGTAGAGCAAGGCTAGTAGCTATGTGACTCACCATAGATGTAGAGTGTCTTGTATAGTGACTGTTGTGAGCCTCTTGTTGAATCACTTTTGATATAAAAAAGATTATTTACTGATATGTATTTGTGTACATGGATGTACATTATATACATATGTACATGTATATGTAACATTAACAATTGTGTAACTAGTTTCAAATATTGTCACTTACTTAGCTAAATGAATTATGGGGTTCAGTTCTTTAACCCATTATGTGCCTCTGTAACCCTTTCCACCACCGCCCACGGGATGGGTATGGGGTGCACAATAAAGACAGAAATCACAAATCAGACTGTGGTCCCTCTTGTCTCTCATGCTAAATGAGCTGATTCTTATAAATGAGTCCACCTGAACTCATAGCTGTTTCTAAATGGGCATAGGATATTCTGTGTGATGAGATGCATTTCATTGGGATGATCTCTGATTATCCCTGTTTGGTACAGTACTTCCTAGCTTTTGGTCACATTTTTATACCAAAATCACGTGGTAAAAGCACATTTTTCAATACTTTGCCAAATGTTAAAAAATTAGGTAGTAACTTGTCCTGGTCCAACAAATACATTGGTTTGCTCCCTTGGAAGTCTCATTATTTGCCTGCTGCAATTAAAAAATAAGCTGAATCCTTCCAACTGTTCTGTATTCTAAAGGACATTAGAGTGAAAATCCACTGTCAAGTGCTGTCCTGTATTGGACACCTGATGAAAACTTCATATTTATGCTTGAAACTTTGTGATCACATGTTGTGCTAGTACATACCAGTCTTTATGGTATTTATAATTAATATTATTTTTTTAAATTGAGTAAATGTATCCTTCAGGGCTTAGTGTACGTCAGCTATACACCATACTAGGTGGTTCTCTCTTCCATCGTATGATGCATCACTTGCTCATTGGTCGACAAGTCATCTTAAGAGGATCGTCTACAAGTGTAATTTCAGCAATGATTCAGTCATTACAGGTGAGAGTTATATTGATATTACTGTATTCTGTTATCATTGTTTGACATTGAATAATAGCAACATGTATGTAATGGTACTGAGTACAGTAATTTTAATTATACCAAGGAATGGCTATTTTAAAGATATTGTATCTATAGACAGACAACTTTTACTAATCAACAAATTGCCAGTTGAAAGGGAAACTTCTAGAATCTTTGTTTTACGTTATCATTATCATCATCATTCTCGTTTCTTGCTTTCATGGATAGGGAGACACCAGCTTGTAAAAGCTACAACTTTGCTACAGTACTGTATAGGAGAAGAGGGGTCAAAGATATCAAGAGTGACACCTGCTCTTACATACCTTCCATGCTTGGTAGCAGTGTGGAGAACCAACAGCATCACTATGCTCTGCTACGAAAGCATTCTTTCATCTGTTCATCCCTGCTTACTGCAGTTTCTCGTGCATTGTTCATATTCATCCAGTTCATCTGGTGGCCTCTTAGTTCCTATGAGCTTAACTCTGGTACACTAGGGACATTCTGGCTATGCCAGATTCCAGGCTATGCTATGCCTGGAACCAGGCAATGCTGTTCTGGCTATGCCAGGCTACTCGCTACCCACCAAAGACACGGACTTTTTCCAAATACATTTTGTTTCCTCCAAGGGGTGATTGTTTATCAATTATATTGATGAGCATATTTGAGTTACTTGGGTAATATTTTTTAGGCCATTTCATCCCACAATGGAAACCAAAGTACCAAAGCAAAAGGGGTTATGAGAATGCAATATTTACCTGAATTTACTCGATGGGCCACTCTATCTCTAGTGGCCTCGATGAGCACAAGAAGGTGGCTGCTTGTCAAATGTCCCTCCATTTATGATGATGATTTGTGATGGTGTCACCGTGTTTTTCAAGCGACAAATCTGGGGATTACCAATAATATAATAATGAAGTACTATCTATTTGCTTTTCTTCTGACACAGTTTGGTAGTTGTTAAATAGATCAAGATTCCATATCATGTAGGTATATTATATTACTGTAATATATTTTTTTCATTTCAGCCATTGCTGCCAAAACACTGTTACAAGGCAATAAAGTTTTCGCCTCATTATGTGGATAGTGCATCCTGTAACATATTGGGCCTTCATGCCTTGGTAAAGGTGCCACCAGCTATTGTAGCAAATGGTAATTTATGCCTTATTGATATTATATCCAGGGAAGAAAATCATGATGTTAATAACAAGAGTAATAAAACTCATTTGGAAAGAACTTCAACAGTCATCAATTTTAATGATAAAAAGGAAGAAGAAACAAAGAATGCAGACAAACCCAAGTCAGAGAAAACAGAGGCAAACACAGAGGTTGAAGACATTGCTGAGAGTATCAAAAAGCTTTCATTTAAGGTAAATTCTTCCATAACCTTCTATACCTTACTGTTCTCCTACATTTAGTTCAGTGAATTTAAAAAATTGTGATACAAAAATTTAAAATAATGTTAAATTAATATGATATTAGTATTTTATGAGTTTTACAGCACATCTTCTGTTAGTTCTATACTATATTAATCAGCTAGGATGAAAACTGTGTGTGCTTTTACATTAATTATAACAGAATTTGTTTGAGTAATACACCTTGTCTTTTATCACATCACGTCACTGAAATCTGTTGAAGTTTGATTTATTCCAGTAGCTTATGTGTGCTATGTCTTTAGTCTTGTGTGCCTGGCAGCTGTATGTCACCATTGAGAGGGGAAAGGCTGTAAAAATTAATTTTATTTATTAATCTACTTAGTACATTGCTAACATCACAGTTTTAGCAAATCTTCTAGGTAAGATTTGCCAATACTGATGGTTACAAACATTTTTAATACTTATACAGTGTATAGGCATGTTTTGTGGCTTCTCTTTGTCATTTATTACTTTGCAGCATAGTGCCTGTGTTGTCATTCTATTGCATGACCCAATCAAAAGGATTGATCCAGTGGTTTTGACTAGGGTAAAGAAACTTGGGATTTGTAAAGGTTGAGTTTAGCCAAGTCTTAAGGAGATACATTAAGCCCACCCTTGCCTACAGTTAGCCAGGACCTGAATCTGGCTCTCTACAAGGGAAGTCAAGCTTGGGGTGATTAGAGAGTAACCCAAAACAGAGAAAGAACTCACTAGGAAGCATAAGGGCAATCAACCGGAGGCCTTGCTTTTTGGCTTTATAACTCATAAGGGGTCAATTGTGTCAGAATTATTTATCATATTCATTTAGAAGCATATATTTAGTGTTTATAGATATGATTCATCTTCCATGTATGGTAACTTTTATACCGTAACTTTAGCTGAATGGGTCCTCCGTACCTTTATCTCAGATTTTAAAAATTTACCTTTATTTATTCTTGAAGATCACAGAGGAAGGCTCCTTGCCGCCTAGACCCCCACAAGTTCTAAGTCGCATTGAGGCAGCAGTTGGCAATTCTACACTGACACAGTCAACACTAATGAGCTACATTTCAACAATTAATTATGAATGGATCAATAAGGTAAGAAAATAATAAAATATTATAAGATATTGAGTATTTTTAGGTATTGTATTACTGAATAACCCAAATTCTGTTTTCATATAATATAATTATTGCCCTTGATATACATACATTATAAGCTCTGTGATTTTTCTGGGCAAAGCCCTCTTGGTTGCTCTTCAAGTTATCACAATATAAATACAGTACATGGAAGGTACTTAAAAGGCCAGGTTGCAAATATGGTAGAAAATGCAGACTAGACCCAGTGAAGAGTAGAGGTGACAGGCATAATCAAAAAAGACTTTGAACATCTTAGGCCTACAGCTTTTCAACCCCCATTCCACCAAATACTTAGAAATATTGAAGGAACAAAAGTGGATGTTTTCGAGAAGCAGTTGGGCAAGTTTCTACAGGAAGTGTCGATGATCCAGACCAAGTTGAAGTTGGCTCTTGGGACAATTAATAAAAAAAAAATATTATTTGTGACAATTTCACATAATGTACTGTACTTCCCACAGTTTAAATAATGACATGGGTTAATGCTATGGATTTTATACAGGTTGATTTTAGGGCATTTAAGGCATAACTTGAATCACTTGCTTGAAAAAGTGATTTAAGAGCCTTCAGCTGTGATGTAACTTAGCAATGGGAGGAAAGCATTAAATACTGTTACTTTTGTTAAATTACAAATGCATGGAACATAGAATTTTAGTTGATTTTAAAAACTGTATTATTTATTTCACTGCCCATTCTTTTAAATGCTGAAATACTTTCATATATTTTAATAAATGAACTATTCTTCAGGTCAAGGTATGGATTCATGTTCAAAAGCTGAAGAAAATACCTCATAGCCGTCCAGAGAGAGTGCCATCACCTGTAGCCCACTCACATTCTGTTTCTCCAAGTCTGCCAGTACCCATTGTGCGAAGTCCAACAAATGCCCTTTCCCGATCTCCTGTAATACCAGCCTTTCGAAGCTCATCTGGTAACCTGAATATGATTTCCCAAGAAGTAGCACCACAAGATGAGCGTCACCAGTTATTAGCAGCTTTAGGTTCAACTGAGTGGGATGTTCCATTGTTAGAATTCTGGGCTAAACATTTTAATAGTGGACAGGAAACATGCTAAGCATTTTTATTATTATTTAACCAAGTTTTTTTTAATCAAGTGTTCTTTATTTGTTTTTACTTATTTCTGGAAGGCCCGTTCTATAGATCTCCTGAAGCTGATGTGCTGGTGTATTAAAGTTGTAAGTGTACCAGGCCTCTGCTAACACTACAAGTTTCTTGTAATGTCGATAGGCTTTGTCCGGCTTGACATGTAACATAATGCAATGCTGTGTTGGCTTCAAAATAATATTTAGGTAATGTATTCTAGTCATCCTTACTAAGTATTTACCATATACCTGGTAAATAGTAAGAAAATTTATATCAAATTATGAAGAACCTATTAACATCAATAAAAAATTACAAATTATTATGTCACAGCATCCTCTTACACACACGTTGCTCATTGACATGTGATCAATGAGATCATTGAAAATACAGTACAGCATTGTACTTAGTAATCTAAGTGTAATTACCTAAGTGTAGTTAGAGGATGAGAGCTATACTGTACTAAAAATTATATTTCCTAGTTTTGTCATGTAACACACCCTTATCTTATAAATATCTAATTTCTAATATCTATCTAATAAATATTAGCCTCCATTTATATGAACAGAATACCTGTGTTGTAATGAGCTATACAAAAATATATTTAGGGGATTCTCAAAGAAAATGTATTTTTGTGGGTGAGTATTTGGGAGACAATTCTCCCTATCAGTTCTTGTGGAAGTTGTTTTAGGTGGATTCTATTAGTATAAAGACTTGCCACTGTTGTGCCACCTGGCCTCTGTTAAACTACTATGCAGTGGGCAATTTAATATGGTAAAAAAACACACTATTGCTTTGTCAGCAAGCAGCAATAATTACCAGGCCAGCCAGTGGAGGTGCTACAGACTTGGTGTTATGTTACAATGTTAGGTCCATCCAAACTTTTGTCTTGCATTCCTTAATGCAGTACATTGTTGAAAATAATGAACATTCTGCCACCATGTCGGCTTAAAATATTGGAAATGTGTCGATGAAGGTTTTAATGAAAGGAATTGCAAGAAGGAACAACCTGTCATGAATTTTGAGCACAAATTAAGAGTTAAGAAAGTGAAGATGCATTTCTAAATTGTGTGCGGTGTAATGATTATTTATATTTTGAGGACTAAACGTGAGCTCTTTGCCTACTTTGCTCGTATTACTATAAAAATTATAAAAAATTTCACTGTTTGTATGTGATGAGTATCATTATATTATGCCTGTAAAAATATACAGGGTTAGGGTGGTGGATGATGTACTGAAATACTATACAGTACAGCATCTCGTCTTAATTTTTCTACAACTACTATAGGCAACATCTCAACCTTTGGTGAGATATGTTAGCCTTGAAGTGTGTGAGGCAGAGGCTAGTTTCTATAACTTAAAGCCAAAGATTTTACAGTAAGGCTGAGTATGAGATGTTTATTTATTTTGTATTTCCTTTGTTTTACGAGAATGTACATAAGCGCATTAAAATACAGTACATAATTTAATTATTTATCCATTGCTAAAGTACTATTATTTGACTAAAATCTAATTTGATTTAATAAGAAAGAAATATACTGGCAAAATCCAGGGATTATTGCAGCATTTCAGAAAGGGAAGAGGGTACATCGTATGTAATTTGGTGAGGGGAAGATGAGACACCATTTCAGTATACCAGATATAGAATGTATGTGTGTGTGTATGTATTATATATATATATATATATATATATATATATATATATATATATATATATATATATATATATATATATATATATATATATATATATATATATATATATATATATATATATATATATATATATATATATATATATATATATATAATATTGTGACGGTAAAGCGTTGGTGTTCGGCTGTTTCAAAAGCTGGGGGCAGGGCCTCGTCACATCACAAAAAAAAAAAAAGAGAAAAGTTTGTCCTTTCGTCTGTGGTAAGGTAATGGGAAGACACACAAAACACAAGTATATAAACAATGAAATTTTAATTACTCTAGAAAACAAGACATGAATAAAGGTAATCTCATAAAATGCAGGACAAGTCAAACAAAATAACATGAATAATCACTGGCAAATGAAAAGTTACGCTAAGACAAGTAAGTTACAGTGATAGCAAAATAAAATATGTAATGGGTGCTGGAATACTGGCTTCAAGCTGCCACCTCCCTTAGTACACGAAAGCCAAGGCTTAGTCTACCAGCGAGAGATGTCAACTTCATGGAGCACAAAGATATTCTGACGAGACTGGCGCGCTGCAGCCCAGACGTCGACTTGTGGTGGTGGCGGAGGGCAGGTGCGATGAGACACCAGCCAATCAGCAACAGGCAGGCAGAGGATGAGCAGTTTGCTGGTTACGGGCTGTGGCCAGGTGTTGGGGTGTGCAGGGTACGATTTGCTCTCTGGGCAAAACGTTTGGCGATACTGGTGAACGTATCTTCTATATAGTATCTTGTACTTTGACGTAATGATGTAGGGAAGAGCAGGCTCAATCTCTCTTGAAAGAGATTATCGTCACAATATATATATATATATATATATATATATATATATATATATATATATATATATATATATATATATATATATATGTCGTACCTAGTAGCCAGAACTCACTTTTTGGCCTACTATTCAAGGCCCAATTTGCCTAATAAGCCAAGTTTTCCTGAATTAATATATTTTTTCTAATTTTTTTCTTATGAAATGATAAAGCTACCCATTTCATTATGTATGAGGTCAATTTTTTTTTATTGGAGTTAAAATTAACGTAGATATATGACCGAACCTAACCAACCCTACCTAACCTAACCTAACCTATCTTCATAGGTTAGGTTTGGTTTGGTAGCCGAAAAAGTTAGGTTAGGTTAGGTTATGTAGGTTAGGTAGTCGAAAAACAAATAATTCATGAAAACTTGGCTTATTAGGCAAATCGGGCCTTGCATAGTAGGCTGAGAAGTGCGTTCTGGCTACTAGGTACGACATATATATATATATATATATATATATATATGTCGTACCTAATAGCCAGAACGTAATTATCAGCCTACTATTCAAGGCCCGATTTGCCTAATAAGCCAAGTTTTCATGAATTAATGTTTTTTCGACTACCTAACCTACCTAACCTAACCTAACCTAACTTTTTCGGCTACCTAACCAAACCTAACCTATAAAGATAGGTTAGGTAGGGTTGGTTAGGTTCGGTCATATATCTACGTTAATTTTAACTCCAATAAAAAAAAATTGACCTCATACATAATGAAATGGGTAGCTTTATCATTTCATAAGAAAAAAATTAGAAAAAAATATATTAATTCAGGAAAACTTGGCTTATTAGGCAAATCGGGCCTTGAATAGTAGGCCAAAAAGTGAGTTCTGGCTACTAGGTACGACATATATATATATATATATATATATATATATATGTCGTACCTAGTAGCCAGAACTCACTTCTCAGCCTACTATGCAAGGCCCGATTTGCCTAATAAGCCAAGTTTTCCTGATTTAATATATTTTCTCTAATTTTTTTCTTGTGAAATGATAAAGCTTCCCATTTCATTATGTATGAGGTCAATTTTTTTTATTGGAGTTAAAATTAACGTAGATATATATGACCGAACTTAACCAACCCTACCTAACCTAACCTAACCTATCTTTATAGGTTAGGTTAGGTTAGGTAGCCGAAAAAGTTAGGTTAGGTTAGGTTAGGTAGGTTAGGTAGTCGAAAAACAATTAATTCATGAAAACTTGGCTTATTAGGCATATCGGGCCTTGCATAGTAGGCTGACAAGTACGTTCTGGCTACTAGGTACGACATATATATATATATATATATATATATATATATACAACTTTAGAACACTTTCCCACCAGGAGACTCGAACCCTAGCCAGCACAGAAGCCTTCCAGCAACTGGCATAACAGGTACGCCTTAACCCACTCCACCACCCGCTCAGACTCTTAAAAGAGATGGTAATTTCGGAGTATTTAAATACACCAAAGATCATCACCTCCCAAGAGCACCAGAGCAAGTGAGGGGTCATTTAGACGTTAATTTCATCAAGTCCCTGTTAATATGGGAAGACACAGTGTCTATGCTTAAGGCACAACTCTTCTAAACACGAGAGTGAAGTATACAACTTTAGAACACTTTCCCACCAGGAGACTCGAACCCTAGCCAGCACAGAAGCCTTCCAGCAACTGGCATAACAGGTACGCCTTAACCCACTCCACCACCCGCTCAGACTCTTAAAAGAGATGGTAATTTCGGAGTATTTAAATACACCAAAGATCATCACCTCCCAAGAGCACCAGAGCAAGTGAGGGGTCATTTAGACGTTAATTTCATCAAGTCCCTGTTAATATGGGAAGACACAGTGTCTATGCTTAAGGCACAACTCTTCTAAACACGAGAGTGAAGTATACAACTTTAGAACACTTTCCCACCAGGAGACTCGAACCCTAGCCAGCACAGAAGCCTTCCAGCAACTGGCATAACAGGTACGCCTTAACCCACTCCACCACCCGCTCAGACTCTTAAAAGAGATGGTAATTTCGGAGTATTTAAATACACCAAAGATCATCACCTCCCAAGAGCACCAGAGCAAGTGAGGGGTCATTTAGACGTTAATTTCATCAAGTCCCTGTTAATATGGGAAGACACAGTGTCTATGCTTAAGGCACAACTCTTCTAAACACGAGAGTGAAGTATACAACTTTAGAACACTTTCCCACCAGGAGACTCGAACCCTAGCCAGCACAGAAGCCTTCCAGCAACTGGCATAACAGGTACGCCTTAACCCACTCCACCACCCGCTCAGACTCTTAAAAGAGATGGTAATTTCGGAGTATTTAAATACACCAAAGATCATCACCTCCCAAGAGCACCAGAGCAAGTGAGGGGTCATTTAGACGTTAATTTCATCAAGTCCCTGTTAATATGGGAAGACACAGTGTCTATGCTTAAGGCACAACTCTTCTAAACACGAGAGTGAAGTATACAACTTTAGAACACTTTCCCACCAGGAGACTCGAACCCTAGCCAGCACAGAAGCCTTCCAGCAACTGGCATAACAGGTACGCCTTAACCCACTCCACCACCCGCTCAGACTCTTAAAAGAGATGGTAATTTCGGAGTATTTAAATACACCAAAGATCATCACCTCCCAAGAGCACCAGAGCAAGTGAGGGGTCATTTAGACGTTAATTTCATCAAGTCCCTGTTAATATGGGAAGACACAGTGTCTATGCTTAAGGCACAACTCTTCTAAACACGAGAGTGAAGTATACAACTTTAGAACACTTTCCCACCAGGAGACTCGAACCCTAGCCAGCACAGAAGCCTTCCAGCAACTGGCATAACAGGTACGCCTTAACCCACTCCACCACCCGCTCAGACTCTTAAAAGAGTCTGAGCCATTATATATATATATATATATATATATATATATTGTTGAATATGACCGAAAGGGTAAGATTAATAATTCTAACACGAATATTCTCAATATTTCTTACGTTTTTCTTCTCTGTTGAAGATAATTGAAAAATTAACTCCTATCTTGAGGTTATCTTGAGATGGTTTCGGGGCTTTTTGGTGTCCCCGCGGCCCGGTCCTCGACCAGGCCTCCACCCCCAGGAAGCAGCCCGTGACAGCTGACTAACACCCAGGTACCTATTTTACTGCTAGGTAACAGGGGCATAGGGTGAAAGAAACTCTGCCCATTGTTTCTCGCTGGCGCCTGGGATCGAACCCAGGACCACAGGATCACAAATCCAGCGTGCCGTCCGCTCGGCCGACCGGGGAGCCGGCCGCTCTCCAAAATTCATTTTGTACATTTTTTATTTTTAGTCTGACGCCTAAAAGCATTTCATAAGGCTTCTTACATTTTCAAAGACTTGGTTTACACATAACATACATCATGCTTTTATTTGCTTTGGGTGAGGTGACAACACGAAACAATGGGTATGAAAACATAAAAATGTAAGTAACTACAGAAGGCCTATTGGCCCATACTTTCTCTTGATGCTTCTATGTTGGTTCAGGGTCTTTAAGTGGGTAGAATATAGTTATGCGTTAATTGGCTGTTGATTGCTGGTTCTGACTTTTTGATGTGTAGTGCCTCGCTGATGTCGAGTCTCCTGCCATTGCTGTATCTATCGATAATTTCTGCGTTGCTTGTTAAGATTTCTCTGGTGATGGTCTGGTTGTGAGAAGAGATTATATGATCCTTGATGGAGCCCTGTTGTTTGTGCATTGTTAATCGCCTAGAAAGAGACGTTGTTGTCTTTGCTATATGCTGAGTTCTTTGGGGCGTACAGTCCCCAAGTGGACATGTGAAGGCGTAGATGACGTTTGTTTCCTTCAAGGCGTTCTGTTTGGTGTCTGGGGAGTTTTCGTGAGTAGGTTGCCCATTTTTTTGTTTTTGTAGTAAATTGTCAATTGTATTTTCTGATTTTTGTCTGCAGGGATAACGTTCGTCTTAATAATATCTTTCAGGATACTGTACTTTCCTCCGTTTTATGAGCCATCGAAAAGAAGTTCCTATAAAACAATCTAATAGTGGGTACAAGTTTTGTGCTAGTTGACTCTTCAGAGGTTGCATGGTGTTTCACCTTTCTTTTTATGACGTCTTCAACATAACCATTAGAGGAGCCATTGTTGACTAGGACCTGCCTTACCCTACAGAGTTCTTCATCGACTTGTTTCCATCCTGGACCTAGATTCAGGAAGCTCTGTGTATTTCTTCGTAAGTGGGTTTGCTACGAAGGTTCCTAAGTGTGCCCTAAGAAGATGCTTAGGTACAATTCAATAAGGTATACTTAGGAAGAAAATTGTTGGTTCACCTGCGTGCCGATAGAGGTCACTACTGTGTTTCGTTTGGCCAATCAGAGAGCAGCAACATTCTTCATATTAAAGATTTAGCGCTGGCTCTACTGCCTCCTATTTACGTCGAATTTTCTTATAAAATTAGTATATTTCGAAATAAAACAATGTTTTTTCAACTTCTACAGCCAGCACCGACATTGTAGTAAACAAATATGTTACATTTGTTGTTTACCTACGTAATTCTAAGAGATACTGTGTAGCTGTCCTTGTTGCTCGGAAGATGCGCTGACAATTATTGTATATATTTACTGAATTTACCCAAGGGCCACTAACTATCTAGTGACCTCGAAGAGGACAGAAAGCCGGCGGCTTGTTAAAGGGCCCGCCAATTGTCTTAATGATATTTTTTAGCTGGAATTTGGCATTTACGGCTTCAGCGGGTAGGCGGTTCCATGGGTTTATAGTCCTCTTGGTGGAAAAAAAAAATCTGTTTTCAGTCCTACTTGAGAGAACATACTCTCCAACACTATATCTGTGATTGTCCTGTTATCAGTGACTTCATACCAAATGGTATGAGGTATTTTGAGCTCTGTAATTACTTCATACACTCAGGAATATTGGAAGATATTCTTGTGCTGCACCCAGATTTTGCCAGTGGAGGCTAATAGATCAGCATTAAGTATTTTGTTCTCTCCTAATTCCATGTATGACTGGCCATCCTGTGAGGTGAGGATGTTGGGTGAGCTTGTAGCTGGTTTTTGATCTACACTGTGTGGTCCTTTATACAGAATAGGGAAGCAGCACATTGCTGTGTATACCTAAACATGTTTAAAAATACATTGTTTGAGAGGAGTTTTGTAGAAACTGGTAAGAGTAATTATAATATAATGTTTCCATGATTCAGTGCTTACCTCTTGTGAAAATTGCTTAGAGTTGTTTAGTCAGAGTTGATTTGTTTTTTGTATTGAGGCTGGTATTTTCTAAATTGATTCCATGTACAGTATGTCTAACCATCCTGTGAGATGGGAGTATTAGATAAATTTATAGCTAGTTTTTTATCTACACTGTGTAATATTCCATATAGACTAGGGTAGCAGCACATTGCTGTGTATACCTAATCTTCTTAATAAAAAAAAATCAGTAATAAAGATTTTAAATTATAGTTTGTATTACAAATACAGTACTGTATTATCCTTATTAAATCATGTTGACCATGGATCATTAAGATCTCATGTTGATATGTAATACAAGTCATATTTCTTTTGAACTGCTAATCATTCATTAAATTGTGCATTATGTCTCAATTTTTCACTTCCTTGGATATACTGTACAGTACAAAAAAGATAGGATAAAAATAAACCAGTAATATTTCTTTCATTATATTTTTCATTTAAATAACTGCATCAATATTTTTACAGCTGACAGGATTTGTTTTCCCATACAGGTGCATTATTTGTTAAAAAAAAATTTGGTTTATTGTTACACACAATGGTGCTACATAGCCTTCCCAGCTTGGTGCCTTCTTTTAATACTTACTGATTAAAAAATAAATAATAAATACATTTTATTCAGGAAAAGTACATACAGTTGATTTACAAACATAATGATGGATTTATAGGCAGAGCTAGTACATACAATACCTAAAGCCACTAATACTCATAGCATTTCGGGCAAGGTGTGGGGGAAAAAAAACAGACTAAAACTTAATAGTAATCGGGATTAGGTATAAATTGTGTTGAAAGAAGGAATAAAAAATACAAAAAGGGGGTTAACATAGCATAAATCAGCAATTGCACATGTTGGTGAACAGCGTTGTTTAAAAAATAGCAAGACATGGGTTGACATTTAGGAGGTAAGTTAGGTTACATGGAGTTAATTTGGCAGTACTTGGTTTAACTCTTAAACTGGTTGAGAGAGGTACAGCCTTTGACATGATTCGGGAGGTCATTCCACATTCTGGGTCCCTTGATTTGTAGAGCACTTCTAGTTTGGTTACACACAGCCAAATTGAGTAACAGGAAGAGGTCTTGGACACAAATTTGTTCCATGCTAAATGTAGAGGAATCAGCTGAGTATTCCTCAAATAAAATAAGTTGCCTCAGCTTATAAGGTAAATAAAATAAGCATTTCTCAAATAAGTAGCTGCCTCACCTCACTGCCTTACTGCTACATAGCCTTCCCGGCATGGTGCCTTCTTTTGATAATTACTTGTTCCACACCCAAATTGTATAACAGGAAGAGGTCTTGGACCCCTACTTCCCTCTCTCTTTTTTAATAATCTATATACTGTAGTCATAATTATAGCTTTAAGTATTCAATGAATAAAGTTTTTGACATTTTTACCCTTTTCCTTACCTAACATCATTTGTGCAGCATATTTTTATTTTATGTCTCACCCAGATTTAATTTCAAAATAAAACCAAACTAAATAAATTAGAAATGGGTATGTATAGCTAAGGTACACCCTTACTACTAGGTGAACAGGCGCATTTGGTGATAGTAAATGATCCCATCAGGCAGGGCTCATCACCTTCTCTCATATTTCATGTTCACCAGTGTTTATTTACTTAATAACTACTGGTATAATATCTTGCTATTATAAAACTAATTCTACTATCATCAAACACATATTTACTTCAAGTTTCAAGCAGAGAATGCATATATAACTAACACGAAGGATTCCTCTTCACTAGATTCACCAGCTATAATATTTTGGTCATGTTCCAATATCATAAATCGATCCCAGTGTTATGTAGTAAGAGAAAAAATTACTTATATCCAGTTTACGTAAAGCTACGAGTGGTCGAAACCACACTTAAATCCAGGAATGAACTTACGAAGGTTTTTCCACTTAGGGTAGTTAATTGAATACGGACGTAGCCGCCACGAAGGCGCAAAGACGGAAAACGCTCTTAGCTAAGAGGAAAAACCTTCGTATGTACCTTCCTGAATCCGGCCCCAGGTCGTGTAACTTTTTGCACATCCTAGTCCATGGGTTAAGGTGCACATCTGTGGTTATCCACAACATTGGTTCGATCGTGCTGTCCTGCTCTGAAGATTATATCATTGATTTATCACATTGTGTACAATATCTTTATACATTTAATATTTTTTATGTTCGACATACAATACTGTGGTGTAAATACTTTCTAATGAAAGGATTCTAAATGGGAAATTGTAAACAACGCCACACCTTAGGGATGGCATGTGACTGAAAGCTTTATTGTACAGATTTTAATGGACAACAAGATCCACAGCATTCACCCTTTATTTGTGCACATGATAGGACATACATTTGTGCATAATTTGATGCAGAAATCCCATGGAAAAAGCACTGTTTGAATTTTTTAGTAATATTAATTTAAAATTATCAGTCTTGGAGGAATTCTGCATTATCTAGATGCCAAATTCATTGTACAGGTCACTGGCTAGATTAAAATCCCTATCTTGGACCAGGTTCCCATGTAGTACAAAATCCACTGAATTTATATTCAATATAGTATTGTATAGTGAATATTCTTTGCTTGAGCCAGTGAGCCCAACCACCTTACTGATACATCTCAGCGTAATACTGTAATGGGAAGGAGAGATACTGTATACAGTATAGTAATGGGAGGAACACGCAGTCAACAAGGTAGTACCGATAAAATCCTGATATACCATATAATTCAACATGACAAATGCACTATTGAAAGGAGAAGATAATTATATATTATGGTAAAAGGTTTACTATGAAATACAAAAGTACATATTTAACAATAATACATATGGCCTGCATTAATATATATTTTATACACTTAGTACTGTATAAACTGTTATACATACTGTACTTACAACCTGTAACTATATTTTAGAAATTCTAAATTCTGATACAGTCAAAATAAGAAATTAAGGAATGATATGTTTCCTTTGTAACCATAAAACAACAACTTTGCATAACTAAGCAAAATGGAAGAGGAGGCAGTCCTAAAAGAGGAATTAACAATTTACTGTAGAATCTGCCTTTATCCCCATGAACACCCCTCTGATGGAGTAACCACAACTGAAACCTTTTCAGGTAGCCCTATCTTAACATGCTCTTCTGATTTCTCCTCTTTCCTTTATGTCTAAGAATTATTAGCCAGCAGTAACTGGTTGGAGTTAATGTAATTTCATGATCAAAAAGATATTATGCAGTTGATGTCACCTCGAAGAAAACTATAAAATCAGTGCTAGTGACTGATAACTTTGCCTGTCATCCGATCAGGTGACAGCCTGGCTCTACTGAATGGACAGTACTGTACTGTACTCCAAAAGTCTCCCTTCCCCCATACTGACTGCCTACCATTCCACTCCCAATTCCCTTTCACTCTTCTATTTCTAACGTGGTGATCAAGTCTTCCTTTTATGTCTAATATGGAGGCTATCTACTGTACTAATGTGGTTGTCACTCGAGGATCAACTCGTATGGTACTTCATATTCCAGGATATTTCAAGCTTTGAGGTTCATGCTATTGCCTTTTACACTGGCATGAATGACATGATATTATGGGACAATACAAATTTGTCCATTTGTTAAAGAAAAAAAAAGACAAGCTGCTTACAAGAAACTTTTGGATGGGAAGTATAACACAAGAATTATATAGTGCAGGCTACACAAATTAAAAGATTAACAAACCAAGCCATTTTGTAACTCATGCACATCATCAAATGTTGGCACTGTTCCATATTGCACATCATAATACAAACCTGGCACCATTAGCTAGTTTATTAAAACTAAAATTGTCACTCATTCAGCAGTACAATTTTAATACAAGTATGGTGAGGCAATTATACATTTCCATTCAACCAAAAACAATCGATAATACAGAACTGTTTATATATTGGACCATGGAGGTGTCATTGGCTGTGGGTTTTGAAGGTAGGACATCACAACTGCAGAAATGGACAACCTGAAATGTTAATATAATTAGTAAATTATTTGTGACAAGCAAATAAAAGTATATTTGTTTAATTATGATAATTTACTTTGAAAATCAAAACTATTAGCCAGTAACAATGGGTTGGATTAATGTAATTTAAATTACATTCAATAACAAAAGACAATTATGCAAGTGTTGTCACCCTTAGGAAAATCATGAAGTCAATGCTATAGTGACTGACAAGTAAGCTCAGAAAACTACTGACAGGGCTCTCCCAAAAATAACAAATCAGAGCAAGAGAGATTGTTGAAACACAGGGAATACAGAGGACATACTCAGCACACAAACACAATAAAGTACATAAATTATTGGGACCATTTGAAGCTCCCAAAATGTACTCTGGAAAGGAGACAAGAGAGGTATCATGTACTGTATACATGGACTGAACTCTAGGTCCAAAATTTGCACAGTATTATAACATAGTGGAGCGAACAATATGGTAGGAAATGCAGAATAGCGCAAGTGAAGAAAAAATGTGCCACAGAAACAGTCATAGAACACTGTATGAATATCCAGGTCCAAAATTTGCACAATATTATAACAGATGCTATACCGATGATGATACTTTTCAAAATGCTTGTGCTCTCTAGAGTGGAGTACTGCTGCACAATGACAGCCCCTTTCAAAGCTGGAGAAATTGCTGACCTGGAGAGTGTGCAGAGATCCTTTACTGCTAGAATCCACTCAGTAAAACATCTAAACTATTGGGACCGACTAAAGAGCCTAAATCTGTACTCCCTTGAGCGCAGGCGGGAGAGATACATAATAATTTACAAGTGGAAAATATTAGAGGGGCTGGTCCCAAACCTGCACACAGAAATAACATCACATGAGACCAGAAGACATGGAAGGATGTGCAGAATACCCCCATTGAAAAGCAGAGGTGCAACAAGTACTCCGAGAGAGAACTCTATCAACATCAGAGGCCCGAGACTGTTCAACACGCTTCCGCTACACATAAGGGGCATAACTGGCCGACCCCTCACAGTGTTCAAGAGAGAACTGGATAAGCACCTCCAAAGGATACCTGATAAACCAGGCTGTGACTCATACGTCAGGCTGCGAGCAGCCGCGTCCAACAGCCTGGTTGATCAGTTCAGCAACCAAGAGGCCTGGTCGACGACCGGGCCGCGGGGACGCTAAGCCCCAGAAGCACCTCAAGGTAACCTCAAAGCCCTACCAAGAACCCAGCCCCAATACCTACCAAGAACCCACCCCAAGCCCTACCAAGAACCCACCCGAAGCCGGACAGACACCCACCTGGAGCCCGAACAGTCACCCACCCGGAGCCCGACCAGTCAAACACCCGGAGCCCGCCAGTTTAGTAAACCGGAGCCCGCCAGTTGAGTGAACCAGAGCCCGCCAGTTGAGTGAACCAGAGCCCGCCAGTTGAGTGAGCTGGAACCCGTCAGTTGAGTACCTGGAGCCTGCCCCGAGCCCTACCGAGAACCCACCCTGAGCCCGACCAAGAACCTACCCCGAGCCCTACAGAGGTTCCCCAAGCCCGAGAGCCTATCCTGATCCCGAAAGAGCCCACCCCGAGCCTGACCGGGAGCCAACCCCAAACCCTACCAAGAACCCACCCCCAAGCCCTACCAAGAACCCACCCCCAAGCCCTACCAAGAACCCACCCCCAAGCCCTACCAAGAACCCAGCCCTAATACCTACCAAGAACCCACCCGAAGCTGGACAGACACCCACCTGGAGCCCGAACAGTCACCCACCCGGAGCCCAACCAGTCAAACACCCGGAGCCCGCCAGTTTAGTAAACCGGAGCCCGCCAGTTGAGTGAACCGGAGCCCGCCAGTTGAGTGAACTGGAACCCGTCAGTTGAGTACCTGGAGCCCGCCCCGAGCCCTACTGAGAACCCACCCTGAGCCCGACCAAGAACCTACCCCGAGCCCTACAGAGGTTCCCCAAGCCCGAGAGCCTATCCCGATCCCGAAAGAGCCCACCCCCCAAGCCCTACCGAGAACCCACCCCCCCAAGCCCTACAGAGAACCCACCCACAAGCCCTACCAAAACCCACCCCCAAGCCCTACCAAGAACCCAGCCCTAATACCTACGAAGAACCCACCCCAAGCCCTACCAAGAACCCACCCGAAGCTGGACAGACACCCACCAGGAGCCCGAACAGTCACCCACCCGGAGCCCGACCAAGAACCTACCCCGAGCCCTACAGAGGTTCCCCAAGCCCGAGAGCCTATCCCGATCCCAAAAGAGCAAACCCCGACCCCAACCGAGAACCCACCCCCCAAGCCCTACCGAGAACCCACCCCCCCCAAGCCCTACCGAGAACCCCCCCCCCACAAGCCCTACGGAGAACCCACCCCCCAAGTCCTACCGAGACCCCCCCAAGCCCTACCGAGAACCCACCCCCCCAAGCCCTACCGAGAACCCACCCCCTCAAGCCCTACCGAGAACCCACCCCCCCAAGCCCTACCGAGAACCCACCCCCCCAAGCCCTACCGATAACCCACCCCCCAAGCCCTACCGAGAACCCAGCCCAAAGCCCTACCGAGAACCCAGCCCCAATACCTACCAAGAACCCACCCCAAGCCCTACCAAGGACCCACCCGAAGCCGGACAGACACCCACCTGGAGCCCGAACAGTCACCCACCCGGAGCCCGACCAGTCAAACACCCGGAGCCCGCCAGTTTAGTAAACCGGAGCCCGCCAGTTGAGTGAACCAGAGCCCGCCAGTTGAGTGAACTGAAACCCGTCAGTTGAGTACCTGGAGCCTGCCCCGAGCCCTACCGAGAACCCACCCTGAGCCCGACCAAGAACCTACCTCGAGCCCTAAAGAGGTTCCCCAAGCCCGAGAGCCTATCCCGATCCCGAAAGAGCCCACCCCGAGCCTGACCGGGAGCCAACCCCAAACCCTACCAAGAACCCACCCCCAAGCCCTTCCAAGAACCCACCGCCAAGCCCTACCAAGAACCCACCCCCAAGCCCTACCAAGAACCCTGCCCTAATACCTACCAAGAACCCACCCCAAGCCCTACCAAGAACCCACCCGAAGCTGGACAGACACCCACCTGGAGCCCGAACAGTCACCCACCCGGAGCCCGACCAGTCAAACACCCGGAGCCCGCCAGTTTAGTAAACCGGAGCCCGCCAGTTGAGTGAACCGGAGCCCGCCAGTTGAGTGAACTGGAACCCGTCAGTTGAGTACCTGGAGCCCGCCCCGAGCCCTACCGAGAACCCACCCTGAGCCCGACCAAGAACCTACCCCGAGCCCTACAGAGGTTCCCCAAGCCCGAGAGCCTATCCAGATCCCGAAAGAGCCCACCCCGAGCCCTACCGAGAACCCACCCCCCAAGCCCTACCAAGAACCCACCCTCCAAGCCCTACCGAGAACCCACCCCCCAAGCCCTACCAAGAACCCACCCTCCAAGCCCTACTGAGAACGCACCCCCCAAGCCCTACCAAGAACCCAGCCCCAAGCCCTACCGAGAACCCAGCCCCAAGCCCTACCGAGAACCCAGCCCCAAGCCCTACCGAGAACACAGCCCCAAGCCCTACCGAGAACTCAGCCCCAAGCCCTACCGAGAACCCACCCCCAAGCCCTACCGAGAACCCACCCCAAGCCCTACCGAGAACCCACCCCCAAGCCCTACCGAGAACCCACCCGAAGCCGGACAGACACCCACCTGGAGCCCGAACAGTCACCCACCCGGAGCCCGACCAGTCAAACACCCGGAGCCCGCCAGTTTAGTAAACCGGAGCCCGCCAGTTGAGTGAACCAGAGCCCGCCAGTTGAGTGAACCAGAGCCCGCCAGTTGAGTGAGCTGGAACCCGTCAGTTGAGTACCTGGAGCCTGCCCCGAGCCCTACCGAGAACCCACCCTGAGCCCGACCAAGAACCTACCCCGAGCCCTACAGAGGTTCCCCAAGCCCGAGAGCCTATCCTGATCCCGAAAGAGCCCACCCCGAGCCTGACCGGGAGCCAACCCCAAACCCTACCAAGAACCCACCCCCAAGCCCTACCAAGAACCCACCCCCAAGCCCTACCAAGAACCCACCCCCAAGCCCTACCAAGAACCCAGCCCTAATACCTACCAAGAACCCACCCGAAGCTGGACAGACACCCACCTGGAGCCCGAACAGTCACCCACCCGGAGCCCAACCAGTCAAACACCCGGAGCCCGCCAGTTTAGTAAACCGGAGCCCGCCAGTTGAGTGAACCGGAGCCCGCCAGTTGAGTGAACTGGAACCCGACAGTTGAGTACCTGGAGCCCGCCCCGAGCCCTACTGAGAACCCACCCTGAGCCCGACCAAGAACCTACCCCGAGCCCTACAGAGGTTCCCCAAGCCCGAGAGCCTATCCCGATCCCGAAAGAGCCCACCCCCCAAGCCCTACCGAGAACCCACCCCCCCAAGCCCTACAGAGAACCCACCCACAAGCCCTACCAAAACCCACCCCCAAGCCCTACCAAGAACCCAGCCCTAATACCTACGAAGAACCCACCCCAAGCCCTACCAAGAACCCACCCGAAGCTGGACAGACACCCACCAGGAGCCCGAACAGTCACCCACCCGGAGCCCGACCAAGAACCTACCCCGAGCCCTACAGAGGTTCCCCAAGCCCGAGAGCCTATCCCGATCCCGAAAGAGCAAACCCCGACCCCAACCGAGAACCCACCCCCCAAGCCCTACCGAGAACCCACCCCCCCCAAGCCCTACCGAGAACCCCCCCCCCCCCAAGCCCTACGGAGAACCCACCCCCCAAGTCCTACCGAGACCCCCCCCAAGCCCTACCGAGAACCCACCCCCCCAAGCCCTACCGAGAACCCACCCCCTCAAGCCCTACCGAGAACCCACCCCCCAAGCCCTACCGAGAACCCACCCCCCCAAGCCCTACCGATAACCCACCCCCCAAGCCCTACCGAGACCCCAGCCCAAAGCCCTACCGAGAACCCAGCCCCAATACCTACCAAGAACCCACCCCAAGCCCTACCAAGGACCCA